GTCTTGCCAACTTTGCAAATAGAAATCTTAGTTTTGAACCACACAACCTGCTATTTATCTACCACTAGCGACGATAAAACGCGATAGCAAATAGAATCGGTTTCGTGCTTGAACCGCTCAGCCAGAAATGTGCAATCACACTGACGGACAAACAGGAGAAAACGAACCAAAGGAAAACAATACAACGTGGTCGGCGAAGACGAACAGATGCGAATAGCCCGCTAACGTACTCTTGTTCTTCGGTAAAGGTAGATACGATACTCCACACTTTCGTCTATGTTCGTAACACGTCGTTCGTGTGTACTAACGAGTAACCAGTGAAACACGAGAGCACGGTGGCTGCATTTAATAAGCAGACGGAACGTTGAACCAACAGCGAGCGTACGTACGCGTCTAGTGTCGTTGGCTCGTGCGGTGCATACGGGTGCATGCAACATGTTCAAGGTGGTGCATACTTAGTTAGATGCGCCTGTGCGCGCAAGCATACGTACACACGCGTAACGAGAATAAAGAAAAAAAGAAGAAGAAAAGAAAAGAGAAGCATAGAAAAGACTAATTGCTAAGGTAGTCGCAAGAGCCGTTGACGGATACACGATACGAGGCTGTTGCATGATAGAAACGCCGAGAATGCGCCGTTGTCTTTAATGCAATCCAGCGTGAATAATCTGCACAGAGATGAACGCTACGCTGTGCGTTCGGATGTATCGCGAAAATAGCATGCTTGACTCTGGCACACAGAGGAGTGTGGTTCTCGGTCGTTTGCAACCAAGTAGACTTCAAATTCACATTCAGTTTTCACAGTGTTCCAAAGAGTACCAGTTCGGAACGCTACAGTTCCCCACCCTAGGAGATCGTTCGCTTTCGCGAAACGGGACAGGGCCTTCTCGACGACGCGAAAAAATACTCCAGAATTAGGTACCCTTGAATCTCTCCTTTGAAATGCCGTACGGGGAACGAGAGCGAGTGCACTCGTCGCTCAAACGCCGAAATTCAAACGACTTTCCTTCCCACCCGGCCTTTCTCTCTTGCGTGACCTTCCGAGGACGTACGACGTTGTCGTTCCTCCGCGCCAGCCTAGCGATCGCTCGCTGCTCCGCTCGAATGACGCGCGCATAACTTCCATACTCGATTTTCCAAGGCTGACTCCTAGCCACGGACTTTTCACACGTTTTTTCCACCACTGACAGATCCCTGCTCTCGAGCTTTTAATAGACGCCATAAATCGTTTCACGTCCGTACAAGTGCTCGCTTGATCGAAGACGAATCGTCCCGGTCGCCAAAGATAAATCGCGCTCGCACGATTTTCTAATTAAGCCTCGTGTCAATTGGCCGGCTCTTACAACGTCGCGTTTATTTCAGCCTTATCGGTATCCGTAAGACACCGTTATGCAACTTGTGCTCGCCTAAGTCGATCGTATCTCTCGAATGGCGATAAAAAAAAACCTCCACTGACGTTATTTATCGAATAAAGCCTCGCGCTAGTTTTGCTCGAAATCGTATCGTAGTACGCGAGAAACGGATCCGGCGCGATAGACGATCGAGAATACTCGCACACTCGCAAATTCTCAGGAATGTTACCCTAGGTCGTACTATCGCGGATCGTACGCTGACGGTGTAATGGGTAAACTCGTCCTCTGCCGAGAGACGAATGATGCGGATTACGGAACAAAGAGCTTCAATCGCGACTCATCGTCGGTCAACGAGAAAGTCGCGTGGTCCGACTGACGCCTTTTATCGCTCGTCCACAGGCGGAGATGGTTTACGAAGCGACAGAAGATCAAACCGTTATCAAAACAATACGACGCTTTGTCCGAGCTTTTACTTTACGCCATCTTATCGATCCTATCTTAATTCCAAGAGCGAGGAACGCCCACGCATGGCACGAACATCATAGTTATTTCAGAATATCTTATCTATAAATCGAATCGTGGATCAAAGATGGGTACCAATGTCTCGTAAGACGTCCAATTATGCCATCGATTCGGTGATTTCACGAGAGTACTGTGCGTTTAGATAAACTTTCTCTTTTCTTGATATTCAACGAAATACTTCTATTATCCCTTTGCGTTACGTGTAGCAGTAACCAGTATACGTATAACGTAAAAGAAGACTAAAGCTCATTTTTTCCGATCGGGTACCGGCCACGGGATTAGCTTCCACGAATTCTTTTTTTGTAGCTCAATAAATCGACAGATTCGACTTCTCGTTTCTCCTTCGTAACCAGTACGTGCCATTAACTAAACGCAGAAATGCATAAAGATCGATTGAATAATAGAAAACCTGTATCTCGAGCGGGGCAACAACTTTCCTTGCAGAGATTCTGCGCAGGCCACGATGCGTTTCATATGCATGATATACATTTCAGCCTGTCAACGACCATTGTCGTGCTAACTGGCCTATCGTGATCTCCGTTATACCAAAGGACAGACGTAATTATCCGACGGGTTATAGTTTGCTAATATTTTTCTTGCTGCGGTTAAGGTCAAAGACCTTGAGTCCCACGACGATCAAGTCCATTCATCTTCTTCGACGATTAAGGTAAACCTCGTGCGATCGCCAACTACGAAATATCTGCATCGTTGAGAGCGAAACGAAGCCCGTGAGCGTTCAGTTCGTCGCGTTAATCCTCGGGGGAAAATGGGTCGAGCGATACATCGTGCCAATAGGCCACCGTTTATCTGTACCTGAAATTATTCCTAAGGCGTATCGCGATTTCCTGATTATTCGCCAGTCTTAGACAGAGTTATCGGCAATCCGCATAATGACCGGTGTGCCAAGTAGTTTATTTATAGGCATTCGACGTAGTCGGTAACCACGAACGGCGTAAACACTTCACAGAGAGGAACACTTCACAGAGAAGTAACCGTGGGACGTCAGAGCTTATTGATCGTTGCAACTAATACTATCTGGCAGTCGTCTTGCATTTCGTTACGCAAAAACAGAAACGTTTCATTGGGAATATCGAGCGTATTTCCGTCTTTCAAGGCGAAGAAGCTTCGAAAATGTTCGTTGTTTTGTATTTTATATAAACTTTGTTTATAATTACTGCAAATAAGATGTTATATCGTAAATAAACGAGGTCGCGTGTCGGACTAACCTTCGCGTTTGAATTTCTTCCAGAGAAATGTTTATATTTATAAATGTTTATATCAAGCAAGCTTCAACTATTCGATCCAACGAAGAATCTTATAGTACAGTACGGTCATTCACGAATATCCCAGAATTTTCGGATCTACTAAAAATTCACATCGATGGACTAGAAAAATAAAAGATCGGACTTGTACTTTACACCCTCGGAAATAAAGTTAATCTGGTCGAATTCAATGAGCAAACGATTTCAAGTACCGTTCGATCAATTCCATGAAAACGATAATACATTACAGTTTTTGATATCTCACGCGAGCCAGACCAGTCATCTAGATTGGAACTAGTCGCCTACTGGCTATCTTTCTCGTTTCCGCACCGCGCTGACCGGAAAATAGAATATGTAATTCTATTTCACAAGATCCCTGATCGAAGACAATAGTCGTTCCCGTGGGTTACAAAGTTCGCGATGGAAAACGCTTGAAACGGAAAGGGATTCGAAGAACCGGAAGAGAAGCGCGCTCAATTGTTCTTTGAAGAAAAAGGCTGGCTGCGTGGACGAGCCAAGGGGTCATACCCAACCCCGCAGCAAGTTAAGAGTTCTCTTCCTTCGGCGACAATGCTACCGACGCCGCGACGCGACGACACGTTTCACGTGTCTCGTCTACGCCTTTTCAAGCTAGACACAAGCTCGAGTGCCAGCGGCTACTTGAAGCGTGTACAATCGTAACTATGCAACGCGAATTAATTAGCACGGAATCACCGGAACATTTCGTTACTATCGTTGGACGCGGTCAATGACTCGGCAGACCTTCGCACTGTTTTTTCTCCCTCTCCAGATAATACGAGCAGTCGCTCGCGCACTCTGTCATTCAGGCTCATTGTTTTTTTCCACTCTCTACTTTGTTTACCTCTCTCTCTCTCTCTCTTTCTCTCTTCCTCTCTATTCAACTATGACCGGTATTGTCGTGGAGTGGACACGTTCTCGTATCGTCATGGCCATTTTAATGGAAAAACGAGCACGCTTTTCACGTCCATACGTTTCGAGTTGACGCGCGATCTTTCGATGAATCGTGAACATCCCGCTGTGCATTTAGAAAAGGCACAGATCAGAGATAAGAAGAACGAAAATAAGAGAACCGATGCTCTGGTATCGTATTTATGCGCGTATTCTCTCGATAACGAGTATTTATACTTTGATCGCATGAGTAATGCATTTTCAGGATTTTGTACTCGGCGATAGCATGTCTGATCAAAAGCGTATTAATACTCGTAGATAATCAAGCTTCTGCGGCCTTTGCAGCTTTTGGTGGAAACGGAAAAGGGAGAATCGACAACGAGGGTGAAATAATTATGCTTCACCGAAATTTAAATACAAATCCATCAAGAATCGTCAAAGTACATAATTACTGGCAGCTTTGATACTTATAAAACTCAGAGGTCTCCCGACGATATTTAAATAAAATTAAAGAAGTACAGAGCGTTTGCTCTCGTCGAATGGAGCGTAAACGAAATGTTTGCGGCATACTGCTCGTTAAGTATTTTCCTGTTCGAGAGGACGAAATCCATGTTCTCGAAAGTCTTAACAAGGACCCTTGGAAACTCTTCTCTCCTCTTGAACACGGCTTCATCGCCGGCAACGGGGTCGTGGTCTTGTTATCTCGAGTCAATGCAATTCGTGCACAACACTGATTCATCCGATGTTATCCGTTTTGTTCTGTCCCAGGGACTGAATGCAGCAACATGATATTATACCACATAGGAGACTCGAGCACCTGTGAGTCTTCAGATAGCCGATATGATTTGTAACTGCTTCACCACCACTGAAGCGAAGACCACCGGAGACTCCGAAGAGCATCAGGAGTATCTCTGAACAAAGGTAGCCCTAAGAATTTGAGAAAAAATAAAAATAGTAGTAGGGGAGAATCGTGCAGTACCAGCCGGCATACGGTACCGATCAAAATTACTTCTGACTTTTCTCACGTGCACTTCTATTTGCATACACAACTTTTTCCATATTTCATATTCCAAGCGTTAAAAATTAATTGATGTTTTATTTCTCGGGTAATTCAATGTTCCTTTTCTACTATGTATACCATATCTAGCCTATTAAGTGTAATTACCAGCGCCAGTGCTACAATTTTCTTCGTATATTATATATGCCATAGTCTGAAACGTTTCCACGTGTTTGTCGTTCACAGCCGACCATCCAACCATTACCAACCGGTACCAACCGATCAGCCATCGACCAGTGCAAACCAAACCCTTTTTATCTGCAAATTCAATCTGTTGGCAAGTGATAGTAAATGAGAAAATGTTCGTTTGAACCTTCTTCTATCTTTCCTCGCAGAAAAATGAAAAATGAAAAATGAAAGATTAAGTTCTATTTGTACAAGCTCATTTTCTAAATTCTGATTTTTATCGACTCTAGCCCATGATATAACAAACAAAACAAAGAATTCAACACTTTCTATACAGCCACACGTTATTCATTATTTAAAATATATAACTCTGTTATTAAACATCGAGTAATTATTACTCACTCTATCTGCAATTTGACTTTCGCGATCAATAGTACAAAGATAAAAAAGAAACGTATCTCCAACTATCCCCGCAATCGTAGGATTCACAAAATTACGCGTATCAAGGCACATTTTGTCATATACCAAAGAAGCGGAAGCAAATGGAACACCGTTGAAGCAACAGAATCCAACTAGAACTAGATAGAAGCCTAGTAAGCGTGGGCTTTTTTATCATTTGGGCAGTCTACTCTCTTTTTCATAAAGTTGCATATGTAACAGAATACGCGTCTTTGATTTCTCTCATAACTTTAATTCACTCTCGTCGTTCAAATAAATATCAACTCGCCACACACTTTCGTTCTGCTAAAGATTTACTTCGTCGTAGATTTATCATTCCAGTTTTACCTTGTAGCCTACCTCACTTTCAAGCTATGCTATACCACGATCGACGAGAAAAAAGCGACAAATTCACCGCACGTACGGTATTAAGCAAGAACTTAATAACTAACCGGCTTCTCGACGATCGTAGCTGGCTCCATCATATTTGCCAGCCAACACGTTACACGCCGTATACAAGACACAGCACGATATAATTGTGCACTAAAGTTAGAAGCTAATTTTCCACGAGCCTGACTGATGCTACTCGCACTGCGCATATTGGGGATGCCCTAACGAAGATTTGGCAAGCCGACGACAAGAATCGAGCATACAAAACGCATATACATTCTCACTCGTTATACGACACTGCTACGATCGAAAATCGGACGTTTGCTTCTGCTTGCGCAAGAATGCGTTACGTGCATGCATAACGAGGCAAAACACGGGCTACGAAACTGCGTGGCGTACGAGAAAGGAATCGAACGGTCAAATCCTAGCCGTGTAACGGGTCACAACCATGAACGACTACAGTATGCCAGGTGACATCCGATCTCGGCACGCTTCACCATCGATTTTCGTGAATCTGCGCCGCCTAAGTCGTTTCAGATCCTTGAAACGTTAAATGTTAAAGTTCACGCCTCGCGAAGATCGAACGAATCGTGTCTTGCGTGTCTTCGAACTCGATCGAAGCTCGAAGCGAAGGTTGAACCTATACATCTGTTCAATGTCTTCGAATACCGCAATTTCATAGCCGAAGGTGAACATATTCGAAGGCTACGAGGCTTGTAGTTTTCGCGTGTTAGCTTATAATTCTAATTAGGATTATCGCATATGATCTTCCTACCAAGTTCGTTGTTATCCGACGAATGCCGGTTTCTCAATTGACGAGCTAAGTATTCCGATTAGTCCGTTACGAAACTCTGACGGGTAACAATGTATATTCTTACGTGTCTGAAAATCCTAAGAATCTACGCTACGTCGTTGCGACGCTGTTTCGAGAAAATGCATACGCCTCGGGGAACGAACAATTAATAAATCGCAGCTGCACGATAAGAATCGCGTCGTACTTGCAATTAAAAATCGATATCCCAATTACGAGCTTCTGTGCGGAGAAATAGCTGCGATTCTTTTACGGATTTCTTTCGGACAATAGATTAGATCGATAAAGAGACGCTTGCGAATCTTGGAAACCTTTACTAATATAACTCTACCACTATCCGTTCTAGGACACGCGCAGTATATACATCACAGTGATCGCGCATTAAAATGTATTATTACGAGAACTCATAAAATCTCGAAACTTTATAACAAGATCCTCTAAATGGATGCGGATCTTACGTGTAGTTTGCAGTTCATCTATGCAGTGCACATTCGTACAAAAAACACACCTGTACCACTTTTCTACCAAGCTTCTCAAACATAAATCTGGCGAATCACGAAGCGTCATTGGTGCGAAATCGGAATTGGTACGAACTGTACTCGAAAGTACAATAGTCCGTCTGTTTCTTAGCGGCGCAAAAAGGCGCAACTCGGTTTTGCGTTTATCGATCGACCCATGGAGGAGGAGACCGTACGACGTCAGCTTTAACGTGTATATAGAGAGATTCTCTCTACGATACACTGCGTCTCGAATATACCTAGAGAACGACAATTCCGGTCCACTTCCGACTGGCTAATGTGAAAAATCTTGCCCTTCTTCGTCGTAGAATTTCATTTAGAGACCAGTAGAGCTTATCGATTCTCAAAGTGGAGCGCGGACCTGTAACGAAGCAGACTCGCCGCGTTTCACTTCCGATACACCGACTACCGCGAGGAACAAAATCCAGGCAATTGCCCGATAGAAAGAAAAGGGTCAATGATCGAATAACAGGAAGCGATTTCGAAAGATCGAAAAAAAAGTCTAGGAATTATGACAATTCCTCCGACAGATTGCTCCACGAAGACCTTTCTAACCCTTGCTGCCACAAAATAGATTAGGCGGGCAATTAGATTGTCGTTTGTTCGTTAAATACATATTAAACAAGACAAAGTATGTTACAACGACACGAACCTTCAAGAAACGCCATTAATTCGGGCTAATGTCTGAAAAAGATGACGCGTAAAAATTTGTCTTTCGACGAAGTAGCAGATAAAGAGACATACTCGCCTCCGCTCGACGAATCGTATAAGGTAGCCGCACCATACGAGAGTCTATCGAATGGACGTTTAATTCGTCAGCGTGAAAACACCGTAAAAACGAAACAAGTATCGTTTTTAGAAGCTCACACCCACGAACAACTTAAAGCTTCTCTCTCTCCTATTCTATGTTGCACGATTCGTGTGCGCGTAAACGTGCTCTCTCGCCTCTACGGTATATTTATAGAGATTTGGCGCAATGCGTGGGTGGGGCAAGTTCGTGAGCACTTTCTTTGCCTCACGGTCCACGCACACGCAGAATATACGTGCCGGCTCTCGAAGAAACATTCATACATGCGGGCAAAAATACGTGGCTCGGCCAAGAGATATTTGGCGAGGAATCGACCGAACAGGCGATCGACTTTCTTTTTTCCTTTCTTACGTCTTCGTTCTTTAATTATCGCCTTTCGTTTTATTTTCTCGCAACGATTGAATTTTTCACTTTAATTCCATCGCATCGTGATCAACCCCTTGCGCTGTTCCTTGAATAGCAATTTCAGTAAACACTGGCTACTCGTTGCAGCAACGGTCTGTTAAATGAACAATCTGTGTTTAATAATTGGAATTAATTATTAAATGATTGGCAAGGAGTTAATTAATTCGTACGACTGATTGCCCATTTAATAAGCAAAAAGGTCGATGTTGGAAAAACGCAAGAAGATCCACAAGAAGATCGATAGAAAATAGGAAAGAAAAGATAAAGAAGGAGAATAGAAAAGAAAGTATTCACAGAGGTAGAAACGATGAACTTTCGGGGCGAGAATGAAAAAATTCAAGTGCAAGTTCCCCGGTCGGCGTCTCGCTGAGCGACCTCGGCACGCGTGTTCTGCCGCAAAGAAGAAATGCACTCTCGGCATATAGCAGCGTCACGGCGAAAACCGGCTGCAAAAGGGACACGCTGCTTAAGGAAAGAAGAAGGAGCGCCTCCCTGAGAGCGAGCAGTCCCGCCAGAATCCCGGTGATTTTTCTTCGCCACCGCGAACCGTTCCCCACCTTTGCGTCGACCAGGTCCTCTCGTGAGCTTCGCGAGACCCGTTCGAGCCTGGCTCTGCCGAACCTGAACCTCCTCGCGATATTAATTCGAAATTCTATGGAAGAGAACCGGTGAATCGGATAACGAGCGATGCGCGATCGCAAGGAACACCATGCACCGGAACGAACAAGAGGTCTTCTTTCGTAAAAAACGAACGAGTCTTAGTATATTTAGGATCTTTAGAACGAGCAGGAATTTCTTACAAATTGTAATCGGATCGTAAGATTCGACGAGTGAAAGTAAACGGCGAAATTCGAATACTTCCTCGATGGAATTTACAATCGTAACGTAATTAAATTGATAGAGAGACCGCATTAGAGGAGATGTCACAGCGAACGCTTCTGTTACCAGAGAAAAAGGAAATATCCCGAGCGGTGGTATTTCAAGAATTCTTCGAATACTTGGAATATACATATCCGCGAAGCAAGTGGAAATATGACAGAGGCGAAGAACCCAATGGCTGTAGCGAGTGGAAAGAAGCGACGCGAGAATGTAATAAAACAGTGGCAAAATGTTTAAAGAATATAAACGAGTTAGAAAGTAGAGAAGAACGAAGCAACTGAAGGGCATTCCTAATTATGGCACGGAGAAAAGTTAAGAACAAAGTATTATGCTCGTGCGTGGAAGAAGGTTCTTGCAAACGATTCGAACTTTCACCTGAGACGCGCGTCTATTGGATAATTGAGTTAATAAGTTCTATCGGCATAATAGAATGTAATTAAAGTAAAGAGCGCATAATCGCGGTCAGAAAAATACTCACAGAGAACGATTTCTCGAGACCCGAGTATTATGAGAATTCTTGAACACGGGGCGAGACACAAAGCGTGTAATCATGCAAACATCTTCCTTCGTCCATGCTCGAGGCTAGCTACCGGTTGTGTCCATGGGACGTGGGAACCGCAAGTCTCAGACGCCGCTTGAAATTTCGAATTCATGGATTCCATTGTACACCATAAAGCAACCATGCAGTCTCGCCGAGTGACTTTGCACTTTAACGAACGACTCTCCTTATCTACTCGCTGCCAATAATTTTCCAAACGTTCTCCAGGTATTTCTACCAAGATTTTAATTATCTGAATCAAAACGCTCGACAAATTCGCGATAAGAACTGACAATACAAATAATTTTGAAACATTTTGCGATGAAATTCCGTTTTAGTGACTCAGAAAACGATCGTTGCGATAAATTAGGCTGTTATCTGAAAATCTCGATATACTAATGGAACTTTACTTCGTTTATTCTTACGACACTTTTATCAACATGTTATTAAGCATATATCGAACGTTAAATATAAGAAAACACATCGTAGCCGACGTTATCGTTTCGGCTCTCCTAACGACGTTCAACTTCCATATACACGTATTATTCTCTGCTGTTATGCATCTCGATAACACTAGTACAATTCAACGACGCATATCTATGACGCTCCCTGTAGATACACATCGATAAGTACCGCGAAGAAGAACAATCATACCGCGTGTAAATCGTTGCCCCTGTTTCTATTCTCGAGAATGCTCCTCTTAAACGAGCAAACCGAGTCGTGGTGAACTTATAATCGTCTCGATTCCTCGGTTAGAGGGAGCTCGAGGTTCATTGGAACGCGCTGAGAGAAAAAGATTGTAACAAAAATGTCGGGAATCTCGCTGTTGGGAAGAGATAACGGAGCGTAGTTCGTAAGAAAAGAACAACGCGACAGGTAAACGATAAGGGCAAGCCAGATAAGAACGATATCCAGTGAAACAGCAAGTTACGTACCAAGAAAAGATGATTTCGTTTATCAATTACACTATGGAGAAGCGATTATACACCGTCGTGTTATTTCGTCCTATAATTTCGTACCAGACGATTTCAATCGATTTATTCGTTTCGATAAATCTTACTTACACTGTGTGTATCTCGTTCGTATTTACGAATGATCCATTGAGAACTTTCAACGACTAGCTTGTACGCGAGGGCAAGTCCTTGCGACGAATCTTTCTTCTTTTAGAAAAATAGATTCGATTGAGTGGGAAAGCGTGTATCTTCTGAATAGTTAGCACTAGAACTGGCAATTTCTAATGTGTATATATCATATATAATTATAACAAAAGTAATGCGACGAGCGTAATTCTGTTTCAATGAAAGCCAGTACGAACTTTACACGACAAACATCTGTATATTTCTGGTAATCGCAAAACAAACGAAAAGTCTGCATCATGGCAATTGGATTTGTTATTCCAGCACACGTAATAACTCAAATATCTCCGAGATCCGAGAAATATGTTTTCTAAGAAGTGGTTTAAGCGCCAATTTTGACACGAAAATTTAACTCGAGATTAAAATGATCGTCGATTTTCAACAGATTCGACGAAGAATACCTGTAAAATTTAATCGGTCAAGTTTTTCGTTCCACGTTGTTAAGTGGTTTACGCTCAATTAGCCGGCTGGCTGACAAATTGTCTGTGAAGTTTTTGCACCACTTGAACGCTCGAAAATTTCGCCTTCGTTGCCTACAGGGTTCTCCTTTGAAAACGCCTTCCCAGCAAGACCGTTCTTTTTCGCTGGTCGATATCGATTCTCGAGACACGTAACCATCCTTCAACGTCTGCCTATCCTCTCCAAGATAGTTGGTACCTTTTTAGATACTCCAACTCCGAACAGAGAAACACACCTGACCTTACTCTCTGTCTGAGACACGAGCGAAGAATGTCGTACCATGAAATCATCGGTTAGCATACAAAGTTGAGCCTGGTATTTACGTTTCCAATTGCCTGTACGATTTCCAACGGAAGAAATGGAGAGAGAGGTAAACTCGTTGATACCTGAAACTTGCCAACTGGGAACTTGAACAACGTCGAAGTCGTGAGATGTGCCTTTCGAATAGAAAATTTCAGAAATGAATATCACTAGTTAGAAGATCCAAAGTAACCAAATAAAATAATGGAAATGTAAAAATAAAACAACTGGCGTTGGCTGGTCAATCTAGAATATGATATTATCTGACCTTCGATTAATTTAGTCATCTAACTTTAGCGTTCTACTACTTCGTCAACGACTGTTTTATTTCTTATTGTTGGTTCTACAGAAACGAGTAAAAAAAAAGAGCTGCTTTTATTCGACTATTACTCAACGGAAACAGCTCATCGAGCGGTACACCTTGCAAAACCGACGTCATTGGATGACAATCGGAGAGAAGGAAACAACGACGCGTTTCTTCGTGAAACAGACCCACGATAGGCTCGAGGAAAGAGTCAGTTGTGCTCATAAGTAAATCGAGAACACGGATAAAGTCGCTTTCGTTCTTCGAAACCGATGGCTCGTGGAATCGCGCGAGATTTCATTCTTTTGTTACTTATTACTCGATGATCGACAAGAAAACTCTTATATCACTACGAGACCGAACAAAATGAGATTGAAAAAGCTAAAACTGCCGCTTGTTCCTAGAAAATTTGGACAGCTCGTGAAATTAACGAAGAAAATCGAGGTGAAATGAGAATTCAGCCGCAATTTTCTTATGTCATTCCGCCGCGAGATTGTAATTCAGAGTGCGGAGGAGCGGTATCCCCCTGTAGTACACGTACAAGAAAACGATTCCTGATTTCGTCGTGCTGGAGAAAGTAACTCGAGTGCTCGTAACCTTCGTACTTTTCCCGCCTACATCGTCTTACTTCCATTTTCCACGATCCCAATGCAAAGAAGTCGCGTAGGTGATCAGGAAGAATTCGAGACAGATCTCCTGTTCTCCTTGATTTGTTCGTGAATTCCATTGCTATGCTACTATCGTAAATTAACTCAAAGGTGTATCGAAAATACTTTGATATTCTTTCAGAAATTTTTCTACAATAATCGCATAGAATAACATAGAATAACGTCTTTTTCTAAGTGGAACACGTCGTTTCAACGTTTGTAACTTAACGTTTGTACCTTAAAATTAACTTGATATCGAGAGAGAAAGATCAAGTCCATTTTTCAAATCACGAGATCTGGAAGTGATTAAAAACAAGATCGGTATAGCGAACGGCTTATCGACACGAAATAAAAACTCACAGAATTGCAGTATTTGTTGACAAATATGTAAAAGCAATAAAAACAAGCATATACGTGCTAGATCACATTATGAGATTCGCTACGTAACTACAGATAGCTGAATTTCATTATATCTAGGTAATTTAACGCAAAATTATACTACGCTACCTAAATTATCTAAGAGATCAGAATTTGTTCAAAATTAAGAGCGTTATTTCGTTCTCTAGAATACTTCTTGAAAATTCATTGTCTAGAAAATCGTTTCATGCATCGGTACGAATACGATATAAGAACATTACGGTCATGTTTCTCTTGCAATAAATCGTCGTTACGCGGTTAATTGTTTTTCCCTACAAGACCGATAAGGACTTGCATTTACTGCACTTTGACGCGAACACGATCAAAGAAACGATCATGTTACGCTCATTGTACAGACACATACATACGCAACTTGGAAAATAATTACCTCAATTAGTCATCTTCAAATCGATTTTAAAAGCAAAGACTCGCCTTTAACTGGAGCAAATATTTGACAGCGCAGGTATAAGCGAGAGAAACTTCATCGATCGACAAATTTCTCAAACAATAAAGTTTTATCGTTAAATCAACAACACAGAAGAAACATAGTTATCACGTTGCGTATCCTGTCTGCGTAAACCAAATTTGAAAAATCTACAGGCCGAGTGCGACTTATCGATATTTTGAATGTCCTCCACGATTACTCGATTTCATTCACTGCGAAAGACCACTTGCACGATTGAACTAGTATTATTAATATTATCGAGACTAGTATTATCATAACCTACAATTTGTACCTTGTCAATTCACTGATATTATTGGTTAGTAATATACCGTATGAGATGACGAAGATCTCGTAACTCGTCGAAAAAGATGAAACAGACATTTGTATAGACAGAAATGATATTTCAGCTGGAAATTTTCAAAGCAAAGCTCTCTCTGTATTCTCCCTTTCTCTGTCAAGAGCATGGCGAGGCACGCCCGTGTCGTACGTGTACATATGCTCACGAGCAGCCGTTAGCGGTTAAACACGAACGCGTCCTGTATCATGATTCATGAGGGAATATGAGCAGAACGTCAATGAATCGTAATACATAATGACATATAGAATCAATCTATGCTGCTTTCATATCGAAACGTTCGCAGATTAACCTAATCTCGATATATCGCGCATCGAAACAATAGTTGCGATAATCTTACAGATTGCACACCGTGCCTTACACTATACCCTCGAAAGCAAGGTTATCATTGAATACTCATAGTCTTCTGTATTGCACACTTAGATCACGCTATTGTATATCCAAAATAACCGTTACTTTGCGCATGTACATTGACATTTCCGTGAATCTTGAATATCGATTTATAACTTAAGAATATTCGTAATGCGAAAGATGTGTTTGATATTGGCAGCTCCACTGCAACATAACACTAACGCGAGTAACGAGGTAACACAGTGTATAAATTGTACACTTATCAAATATGTATTTTAATCTTTTTCAGTGGCAAAGACCGAGCAGCAAGAAATTCATCGATCACCGAACCTGTACGAGCAAGAGAGATCGCGGGGAACAAAAACGACGGCTTGGAATGCGTGAATGAATTATTTATAGAGAACAGAAAGTAAGGAAGATGACGAACCTGAGTGGCATGATTCTCAGTCCTATGCATACAAGCTTAGATGCGCGTGAATTCTTTTGTGAAAACGTACGAGAGAAAATAGTAAGCACGTAAGATCACACTGATAAAGAACGACTATTTTCGAAATAAACTCCTGAAGCAATTATTAGTTGCTCTATAAATCCTACTTAAATGACTAATTTTCGGTGAATAACGGGTGTACTTGCTAGAATCACTACAAGTTCACACACACAAGCGCGCGCGCGCGCGCGCGCATACACAGATAAAAGTATACCACGTTTATAGGTAGCTGAAAGTTCAGAGTTCGGGCTGTAACTAGACATTCAATATAAAATTCAATAAACTGTATATTTTACAAAAGCGTATCACGAATATTATTTCAGGAATAAATAATGTATGATGAACGTATAATACTAAAAGAAGTAACGTACTATACGAAGGCTAACATACTTTAAAATAATCTCCAAACGTATTGTTTTAGGGTAACGGAATTCGTATCGTAGATCGTAGTAAGATGACAAGTTACTGTCATACACCGCCGCACCGGTAGTCATCGAAGATTTCATGAGAAAGGAAGCGAAGAAGCACAGCGATGAGTAGACCCGGGGTTGGGTACGCAGAGAAAGGAGGGGATATACCAAAGGAGAGAAGAACGTCGCCCGCGGCTAGCAACCGCAAAGGCAAAACTCCCGTGAGTGGTTTGCCACCGTGAACTGGTTTTGGGGGGTATCCTTGTTACGCGTTGGCGAAAACAACGGGTCAGCATCCGATGCACTTCAACGTGTGTACTATTCGGTGTTGTCGTATATGAGTATATCATAAAAGAACGAAAAAACGATAAAGATAGATAGGTGGAGGAAGAAACAGTCTCAAGTAGACTTACCCAGAGTTCTGTACCCCAGCTCATGTTTGCTGGGCTGGGTAAACCAGGCACAAGCAGGTTTGGTCTCACTCGACACTTCACATGTAGCGTCGCAATCCAAAAAGCACTTCTTATATATCGAACACGCACAAAAAACGCATGAAAAATCACGCGTTATACTCACCGCGCACGATCACTGAAATACCTCCAACATGTCGGCCCGTAACCACTGACTGGCTGGACCCAACTGTCCATCAAAAACCGCCCAGAATTCTGCTGTAGCGCACTCTATCGAACTTTTCCGACATAAATAAGTGTTAAGTGGGGAAATATTTTACCATTGGTCAAATATATATTGGCGGGTATATTTCAAATTCTTCTTTGATACAACGAATAATAACAATGCCATAACGTTGAACAACGTTTGTTAAAAATTGGTTTACTAATTAAGGAAATAAAATTGTTGCTGCATATATTTATTCGTTTGTTTTTTTTTAGATAGGTTTACACGATAAATAGTTTATATATTGCTTTAATAACAAAATAACAGCTTCTTAAGCGTTTTATATCTTTCCTTTCTTAATTCCCTCTATTCTGAAAAATAAATCAAAAATAAATCAATCAATTAATAATTTAGCACAAAAATATTATTTCCTTATATCTGAAATTAATTTGTAATTTATACTACGTAAAAAATACAAAATTACTAAGTTTTAACTTCGATATTTTGATTTTAGAAGAACGGAAATTATATGGAATATAAATAAAACAGAAGATGAGTATGAAAACGGTTTCGACTTTTATAATATTTAATAATAGTAATTACATAAATAATATAAAATGTCACATAATATATAAAATATGTAAAAGCGAAATTGCAAGCTTTATAAGTTGCAAGCTTGTAAATTGACTAAAATGGCGCTGGATGACTCGAGCGAAGTATCAAAGGTCATTAATTCAATGTAGATAAGTAATTTTTTATATCAGAGCAAGAACATTGTTTCTAATCCATCTACCTTGCATTTCCGTCGCCTTTCACTTATGAATTTGTGACGCAGTTTTTGTTTAACATTCTACTACATTCTGATGGAAGAAATGAATGCCCACTATGGAGGTTGTATTTGTTATATTTTGTTCATAATTTTGTAATTTTTTTATCCATTTGTTGACGTATAAGATTCATTCATATAAAGGTGTTTCCGCAATAATCAGTTTGAATATCATTAATATTATTGAATGAAATTAAATGAAATGAAATGAGTTATTAATTAATTACTATTATTTTTTATAGGTGGTAGAACTATTCAATAAATGTAATGAAAGTCTAGGTTCTTATTTATTTTCAAGATGGATTGGCCAGTTAATTGCAGAATACCAAATATCAAAAACTCTGTTTATACTCATAATATCGACTCTTGTGATTTTATTGACTGCATCTATAATTATTCTTCGAAAATGGAAAAACAAAGAATTCCTCCCAGAAGTGAAAGAATTTGTTGGGGTAGGTACAGGCAAGCCCAGATTCAGAAAAAGAGACAAGGTACTCTTTTATGGAAGAAAAATGTTGCGCAAAGTGAAATCCATCAGTGGACAAGTACATGCAACTGGACAAGGAAAGAAAAGAAAGGCTGTTATGAGATTTGCACGAAGACTTTTGCAACTTAAAAAAGAGACAGCGCCACAACAACTAAAAGTATTTGAATTTTAAATTTCTTATTTTAATTCCTATTTTCGTATTTATTATTATATATTTTTTTTTAATATTTTCATAGGTTTTAGAACCACCTGCTGAATATTTAGAAGAAGATTTAGGTCCTGGAGAGAAAGTACCACCCGATGCTTTATATATGTTACAAAGTATCAGAGTATTTGGTCATTTTGAGAAACCAGTATTTCTTAAATTATGCAAGCATACAGAAATTATGAATTTACCAGCTGGGAGCACTTTATTTAAAATTGGAGATCCAGATGAAAATTTATTTATCGTACAGCAAGGCTTAGTTAATGTTTATATCACAGGACCTGATGGTTCTCAAATATCGCTAAAGCTAGTAAAAACTGGAGAATCAGTAACTAGTCTTCTTAGCTTCACGGATGTACTTACTGGGCATACAAGTACCTATAAAACAGTATCAGCCAGAACTGTGGAGGATTCTATTGTAGTCAAGTTACCAATGAGTGCATTTCAAGAGGTATAATTCAAGTTACACGTTACAGACTAAAATAAATTAAAATTATTATTCCTAAACCTTGTAGGTTTTTCAAGATCATCCTGATGCATTTGTTCGAGTTATCCAGGTCATTATGGTCCGTCTTCAAAGAGTCACTTTCACTGCTTTACATCAATATCTTGGATTATCTGCAGAATTAGTTAATCAAGGACCACACAAAAAGAAACAAAGCCCATTTTCAGGATCTCCAGTTAGATCAAGAACTAAAGAAACATTTTCTACCCAAAATACAGAAAATCAATCCAATACAACTGCAACTGTCTCATCAGAAAATGATAGAAATGAAGTGTTTCATCGCGACATTTCTACAAGTAGTCATCAAAGTGTACCTATAGTTATAGGTCGACGGTAAGTTTAACGAAAAAATTGTAGGAAATAAAAAATGCATTGTTATTAATATTCGTTCCATAATAGGCCAAAAACTAATCTTGATTGGAAAAATCAAAATTTAAGTCCACAATCAGGTCAGAATCCAGCAGATATGGTACCAGAATGTGATTCTCATTGGCCAAATTCTTCGCCTATAACATCACAACAAGTATCACAACCAGATGTAATACACACGGGAAATTCACATCCAAGCAAAAAGAGGTCTACTACTACTGAACCAATACAACAACAACTCGATGAAGCGCAGCTTGTGCAAATGGCTACAGAAGCATTTGTTCGGGAACTTGGCTTAGAAGATGATTCAATACTCAAAGATGGTAAAGTTCAAATCAGAGAAGTACCAGCTGGAACATACTTAATGAAGGAAGAATCTCATAAGGTTAACATTTTTTAAATATTGCTATACATTATTCATAAACGTCTATATTTTCATAGAATTTTACATTCCTTTTCCCTAGGATGTTGCGCTTGTTTATGTTGTATCTGGTTCGTTAATAATCAGTCAACGCGTTTCAGAAGGTAGAGATGTAGGTCAAGAAGTTCATATGTTTAGCGCTCATCAAGGCGAGATTGTTGGTGGTCTAGCTGTATTGACTGGAGAACCTTCTTTTTATACCATTAGAGCAAAGCATTCTAGTCGCATAGCACTTCTTAGTAAACCAACATTTTTCGCTATTATGCGAGAACAGCCAACTGTTGTGTTACATGTTGCTCATTCAGTTGTTCGAAGACTTAGTCCCTTCGTAAGACAGGTAAAGCTATTGTACCATTTATTTCACTTGTTACTTAATACCGATAATTTATCCTATCTTCTTCAAAAGGTTGATTTTGCACTTGATTGGCTATTTCTTGAAAGTGGAAGAGCAGTGTATCGACAAGGAGATGAATCAGATTCAACATTTATTGTGTTAAGTGGTCGACTTCGGTCGGTAATCACATATATGAATGGGAAAAAAGAACTTGTTGCAGAATATGGAAAAGGCGATCTTGTTGGTATTGTAGAAATGGTTACACAAACACCACGATCAACAACAGTAATGGCAGTACGAGATTCCGAATTAGCGAAACTTCCGGAGGGACTATTTAATGTTATAAAACTTCGTTATCCAATAGTAGTTACAAGACTTATAAATTTACTTGGACATCGTATACTTGGCACCTGGCAACAAGCGCACACAAAGAATGGCAGTAGTGATACACAGTAAATATCTATAATATTTTGTTTACTATTTATACAATTCCTTTTTTGTAGTAATTTGAATTTCCTTTATACATATGAATATATTTATAGACGGGCCGCTGCAACAGTTGATGCAAGACCAGCTCAAGTAAATTTCTCAACTGTTGCAATAGTCCCGGTATCCGACGATGTCCCATTAACAGCATTTACGTATGAACTTTATCACTCGTTATGTGCAATTGGGCCATGTTTACGCCTTACTTCTGATGTGGTTCGAAAAGTAAGCAGTTAATATAAAAAAGAAATCACTTTAATTCCAGTACAAGTAATAAAATTATACAAAATGCCTGTATCTTTGTTTAATTAATAGACGTTAGGTAGCACTATAATGGAACCTGCAAATGAATACCGTTTAACATCATGGCTTGCGCAGCAAGAGGATCAACACCGAATTTCATTATACCAATGTGATCCAACGCACACGTTGTGGACCCAACGATGTGTTCGACAAGCCGACTGTATTCTTATTGTAGGTTTAGGAGATAAACCTCCATCCATAGGCAGAACTGAACGTGAAGTCGAACGTTTAGTAATGAGAACGCAAAAAGAATTAGTACTTTTGCATAAAGAACAAAGTGGACAACGACCCACCAATACAGTGCAGTGGTTGAATATGAGATCTTGGGTTTCTAGTCATCATCACATTCAATGTCCTAAACGGATGTTTACAAGAAGATCTCAGTATAGAATTGTAAGCTATAAAGAAAAGTACCGAGTGTCTCATTACATATGAAGCATGTTAATAATTCAATTTTCAGAATGAGCTGTATTCCAAAGTTCTGATGTCCGAGCCAAACATACATAGTGACTTCAGTAGGCTTGCTCGCTGGTTAACTGGAACTTCCGTTGGGCTTGTACTTGGAGGTGGAGGTGCTAGAGGTGCAGCCCATGTAGGGATGCTTAAAGCAGTTATCGAAGCCGGTATACCTATAGACATGGTTGGTGGAGTTAGTATTGGAGCGTTTATGGGTGCTTTATGGTGTATGGAAAAAAATATAACAACAACAACCCAGAAAGCTCGTGAATGGTCTAAAGTAAATGTCATAAAATTAATCATATCATATCATATCATAAAATTTATTATTTTTTGTTTATATGAACATATACTTTTTTTTATAGAAAATGACACAATGGTGGAGACAAATAATGGATTTAACATATCCAGTAACATCCATGTTTTCTGGAAAAGACTTCAATAGCACAATTCAAACAACATTTGGTGATACGTACATAGAAGATTTATGGTTACCATATTTCACAATAACCACAGACATCACTGATTCTTGTATGCGCACTCATACACACGGTCTGTACACAAACGAAAGTAGTATAACATTTATTAAAACACTGACAGTTTCCAGTTTTCTTTGATATATATTTAAGGTATAAATTTAAATGGTTTGGATTTAACTAACTGGAAACTCTCTCGCTGTTTTGGTGAAATTTATAGAGAACTTATAAATACATTTCTAACTCAAAGACCTATTTTTTTAAATTCAAATAAGCATTACTGTAGAGCATTGCGTAGAAATAAGCTTGAACAGCGGGAGTGAGCTTTCTAGATAATCACTGTAATGACGTACTCTCCGTTATGTATCGTTTATTGACAAATGTCAAACTTTATTTCTCGTTTGAGATGTTTTTTATGAATTCTGGTAACAAACAGCTTTGAAGCTATCGATTCTTGCGTTAGGAGTAATCATGTATTTTATAGAAGAATATACGAAGTTCAAAGAAAAATACAAACATACATTTAAGAACTTAATTCGTCGTGTTTAGGATCGCTGTGGCGGTACATTCGAGCTTCGATGTCTTTGTCTGGTTATATGCCACCCATGTGTGACCCAGTTGACGGCCATCTCCTGCTCGACGGCGGGTACGTCAATAACCTTCCAGGTAATTTGAGCGTTACATTAAAAAAGTGCGTCTAACTTTGTTATTATATGATACAAAACAATTGCGTTATGTGTCTCTATAAAATTTATTGACATATATACTATAAAATACTTTGAGTTGAACGCACAAACGCTCTTAGATGAAAACGTTTATAAGTTTCTTCTTTAATTTTATAAAATTACCTGGACATTAAAAGCAACTTTGTATCAATGAATAGATGAAATTATATTAGTCTTTTTCATTGATATAAGCTCAGAACACGGTTTATTGTAACTCAAAGCATAATATAATCTTGAAAATGATATAAAGCTCACTCCCGTTGATAAAAGATGCATTTGTCAAATCCTGAATAGCTAAGTCAACTCAGGTTTGCTATGGAGATACATTCGAGCCAGTATGACCATTGCGGGGGTCTTTCCTCCTATTTGCGACCCTCTTGACGGGCATCTTTTGGTCGATGGGTGTTATGTTAATAACGTGCCAGGTATCTTAAACCTGTATTGTTTATCATATCATAGCTGTAATAACTTATACGTCATAATCAATTTCCAGCATATGGCTTTATAATCTCTTTGTTCAAGCTGACGAAATGTTGAGGCAAGGAGCACATCATATTTTGGCCATTGACGTTGGATCACAAGATGATACGGATTTAACAAATTATGGAGATTCTTTATCCGGTTGGTGGTTATTGTGGAAACGATGGAATCCTTTCGCAACGCCTGTCAAAGTTCCGAATTTACCCGACATACAATCGAGATTAGCATACGTGAGTTGTGTACGGCAACTGGAGGAAGTTAAAAACTCAGATTATTGCGAATATATTAGGCCACCAATAGATAAATATAAAACTCTTCAATTCGCTAATTTTGATGAGATTAAAGATGTCGGATATCAACACGGTAAATATTACATTCTATAGAAATATTATAGATAAGTAGATTATATGAAGTATACTTTTTACAGGAAAAACCTATTTTGAAATACAATTGAAAGCTGGGGTTTTACCACGTTTTAATGCAGATAGGGAAAATGCCCGTGCATTGCGAGCCAAACACCAAGCGGCAAACCAGCAAACAGTATCTTCGTATACCTTCACAGACTTAGCTCAAATGGTGTGTAAAGTCTCCAGAGGAAGTATATATGTAGATTTGGAAATTGATTCTGATACCGATGAATTAGAGGAATATGAGGCAGATCTAGAAGAAGATGCACAAGAAGTAGGATATGCCTCTGAACCCACTGCTGGTATTCTAGATCAGGTATCGATCTCTAATCTTTTCAGGCAATAGCTCTTCTAAAATTTTATCTTATCATTTAGTCAACAACGATTCAGATAATACCAAGTACTAAATATTAGCAGAAGTCAGATAGGTGCTTCTTAATCAAATACAATATTTCGTCTCATCTAAAACTTGTTTTTATATGTTTCAGAGTCCTGACGAAAATCGTCTGCGACGAAGAACTGGCGTTTCCTTAAGTTTGTCTGACACGGAAGCAGAATCAGAATTAGATTATCATACCAAAATATTTTAAGCATTTTCTCTAGTTCTTATTTTAACATCATGTATTTTCTGTGTCGTTCACTCCATAAACATATGTAACACTAACTTGTTATATGTACAAATAACTTTACAATTACTTATAGTTTTGTGAAAAATATATTTATACTGAAGTACAAAAGAATTGTTAAGAAAAAATATCAATAAGTATTTTACGATTATCATCAGAATAACAATGCAATATCTCATTACTGTGTTATTATGGATTGATACAGTTGTTAATATAGTTATTAAATAATAATAATTCTATTGTTTATATAAAAAGAATGTACTTTACATTTTTTCTTTTTTAAAAACATTATTATATATTTCGTAAATATACCATATAATCCCCAATTTTTAAAATACATATTAAAATTCCGTATTCATTGTCAAATTCGGATCTAAAATAGCAAGAACTGCACCTATTAAATGTAAGGATCCTGTAACAAGTATTTGATACCTTTCACAATTATTTTTTTGTACCAAGTTCCTTTTTATATCTTCTAAAACTTCAAGAACATTATTTGCAACTACTGAATTCATTCCCCATATTTTAGAATTTATTTCACATTTTATTTTTTGCTCATCTGTCGATGAGCTATTCATTTCATTGTCTAAACTTTTAATTCCTACAAGATTTGGTACAAAGTATGCTTTATAAAAATGTAAAGATCTTAATGGTATTAATAGTTGTATTGGATCTCGAGTACCAGATGTATTAAAAATTAGAACCTTTTTTCTTTTACTTCCACTACTTATATCATTGAACCATGAAATACAGCACTCAATACTTTCAATGGTATGTGCACCATCTAAAAAAAAATCGCCAATACTACTTCTTAAAACTTGCATTCGACCTGGCCATTTACAAGAGGTCAATGCTATTGCGATCTTGTCCATAGATACAGATGCAACTTTATTCCTAGTCAGTAGCCATTCAGTAGCCATCTGAATAGCTATAGATGCATTTTGTTGCTGAACTTTATTTTTTATTTGTAAAATAGGTGAAAGATTTTCCCACTTATATTCATCAAAAGATGGAATAACACGTAACTTACAATTTCTTTCAATTGCTTGTTCTTCCAATATACGCATTGCTTGAGATAATTGTGGAACAGAAAAAGCAACAGTTCCTGATTTAAAAATTCCAGATTTTTGATAAGCTATGTCTTCAACAGTATTTCCCAGTAAAGAAGTATGATCTAATCCTAAACTAGTTATGCCTACACATACAGGATTTCTTATAATATTTGTACAATCATATAAACCTCCAATTCCAACTTCAATTATAGCAACATCAACATGTTCATCTAAAAATGTATTAAACATGAGAATTGTCAGAAATTTAAAATATGTAGGCATATCAGATTCATGTTCTTTTGTATCTTCCAGTTTTTTATATATTTTCCAAAAGTTCTGAGTAAACTGTGTTTTGCTTATTGGTTGCCCACTTATTCTTATACGTTCTCTTGCATTAACTAAATGTGGAGAACTAAAGAATCCTGTTTTAAAACCATGTTCACGTAAAATAGCTTCTGTATATGCGCAAGTGGAACCCTTTCCTTTTGTACCTGCTATATGTATAACTGACAAAGTATCTAATTTTTCAAGTGTAATACCAGACCTGTAAAAGTTACGTTAGCAAATTGTTTTGATGTTTAAGATACATATTTTTTATTTAATGCAACATAAAAAGGAGATCATTACCGGATTAAATATTTCTTTGTATCAGGCAAGTTACGAACAGCATTTGCTTGTGAATTATCTTTTGTTACTAATTTTAAATAATTACTATTGCTTTGTAAACCATGTAATGCTTGTATAGCAGCCTGTAAGTAGATATTTTTAAAATAAATAATCCTAATAAACATACATATACGCACAGTTTACTCCTTTGTTCTCACTCAATTTTTGAATATTTTATCAATCAAATAACAATTTATATTATACCTTATATAAATTATCATCGCGAAGAATATTATTAATTTGTTCCATAATTGAATATTAGACAAATAGAAAATTCACTATAACTTCAAATACATGTATTAAGCATAGAAAGTTACCTCATAACTTGCTACACAAACATAACGTTTGATAAGTTTATCCCACATTACTTTATCTTTTTAATAAATAAAGCAGAAGTACAAAATCATTTCTTACATAATTATCTACCATAATATCTACTTCGTACAGAGTTTATATTAGGAAACTCCCCCTGTTTAACATGAATTTCATTCATTGATGAATTCTGTTCCATTATTTGTCCCCCACCTCCGTTTATCTACAATCTGTACGTCTATAGTCTACAGTGGTATGAGTATGAAGTCACGAGGTCATGTATACTGCCTCTCTCGCTATAATCACATTTTTTCTTTGCATATAGCAATATATTTTACTTTTATCTTTCCCAAGAGAAAATTCTATTACGTAAATTTTTGTAACTGCTTAAATAATTATATGATTCTTATTATACTAAATAATTTAAAAGCATTAAAACAAGTTTAAAAACATTCGTTTTTCACAAATGTATGTACATGTCAAATTTAACCATTGGTGACCATGTGGATATTCGACTTACTCTCAGCAGATTAATTTTCTGTCACTAGTTAGCGTATTGAAATTCTCAGTTTGCCAATATCTACATTCAGTTGTGCAAATACGACATGTATCGTATCAGTCACGACATGACGACACCATCGATGCCTTCTTCTTATCTTCAAAATTTCGTAACTCTCCATTTCGACAGTCAAAAAACTTATTGTTTTTTGTTTCAGAACTTTACGATCAAACGTTTGTTAATAATATATGATACTACTTGATAAAACGATACTACAATACTACGATAAAACTTGTTAAGATAAAGTTATATGTTATCTCTAATATTCTAGAGATTTCTACATTATATTATAACTAATTTAAAAACGTAACAAGTACCGTTGTCTTTTTTTATTGAAGTGTGATTCTTTATATGAAATTATAATAACAGTACAAACTATGATTTATTAACAAGAATAAAATGAAGACTTACTTCTTTATTTATTTGCTTTATCAATGAAAAAAATAATTTAAACACATAATTAAGGCTATGAAAACAAATTTAATGAAATATTTTTAGTGAAATCAATTGTAGTCCTTCAAATTATATTTAGAGAATGAAAAATATTGTAAAGAATAGAAATCCAATATTAATGTATATACTAAAATAATTAAGTCAAATACTAAATTTAAATTATAATAGGTAACTTAAATTATAAAAAACTTAGTTCGGTTATTTTTAATCTTTCCACGTCATGCAAATATGTATATAGCATCAGAGAGAAAATTCCTCTTTGATAGTATTTAAATATCGCTTACTGATGCGCGCGCGCTTGTTGGATCTAATGATTTACACCAAGCTATATGTTACATCTGCAACTTCCATTAACATCTGCTGGAGTCATTCGTGTTATAGGTAAAACCATTTTTTGAGTGTCATTTTCAAGATCTTTATATTTCGTTTCCGAAGGTCTAAGTAAATCTTTAACAATGGCAGATATGTCGATGAATATTGTTACCTCACGAAAGATGTCTTTTGGTATTAACGGAAAATTAAATGGTATAGAAAGCAAAACACCTTTTCTAATTGGGGTTTCAGGCGGCACTGCCAGTGGAAAAGTAAGTAATGTATCATTTTGTGTTTCCGAAATATCTAAGTTATATTTAAATAATTTGTGCGAGATATATTTTCGGTCTAACTTAACCTCTAAAAAAAACGTGTACTTGAAAATTATAAGATCTTTGATTAATTTTCCGATCGGAGAGCTAATGAAAACAATGTTTTTCGTCCTTTCAGTCAACCGTGTGCAAGCGTATAATGGAAAAACTAGGGCAAGTAGACATGGATCACATGCAACGACAAGTAGTTTGTATTTCACAAGATAGTTTTTATCGAGATTTATCGTCAGCCGAGAAACTTAAAGCAGAAAAAGGTCAATATAATTTCGATCACCCTGACGCATTTGATAATGATTTGATTCTTCAAACATTACAAGACATACTAGCTGGAGTAAAATGTGAAATACCAGCCTATGATTATAGAACAAACAGTTTGTACGTATCATTTAAAACAATTTTAGTGACATAAATTACTAATAAAAATAAAATTAATCATTTTTTGTGGGATTTTAGAGTGAAAGATCAAATTACAACAATTTATCCTGCTGATGTAGTTCTGTTTGAAGGCATTTTAGTGTTTTATTTCCCTAAAATACGAGACTTATTTCATATGAAACTATTTGTGGATACTGATTCAGATACTAGATTAGCTAGAAGAGGTAATAATATAAAGCATTTGTCATGTTTCCTCTTTTAGAGTTGTATATGTAAATATTATGAATGAATACTTTCAACTTTTACAGTACCAAGAGACATAAAAGAAAGAGGAAGGGATTTAGATTATGTATTGAATCAATACATGAATTTTGTGAAACCTGCATTTGAAGAGTTTTGTCTTCCCACTAAAAAATTTGCTGATGTTATTATACCAAGAGGTGCAGATAATACAGGTAAATCATGATATTGTTATAATGTAATAAGGATCATGTGCAACAATTTAATTTAGGAAAGTAAATTATTTATATTTTAACTCCTTACTGCGTTTGGTATTAAACATGTAATAGTTATTATTAACTTGTTCATGAAATTAATTTACATTATATCATAACCAAAGTTCAGTTTCATAAAATTTGATTAGATATGAAAATCAATTACAACTTTATGATCATGATAATTATATTTATTTTAATGGTGATTCTAAAGTGTACACTCCAAATGCAAATTTTGATTAATAAGGCAGCTGAAAATTTTCCTCTTCATATATGTATGTATGTATATATATACACACACACATGCATATATGTATACATATATATATACATATACATTCATTTATGGGTGCTGCCTGGTATGTAAAGGCTGCTAGACAAATTATCTTTTAAGTTAGTGCAAAGTGGAGGTCATATAAAAACGTACATGGTTTGGTTATTGTATGTTTACAGTGGCAATAGACCTTATAGTGCACCACATCTGGGACATTTTGCGTTTGAAAAAGGCTGAAAACTCATCCAGACAGCATCCATACATCCACCAACATAGGCGTACTTCGACTTCATCCGACACGTTCAGCAGATGATTTTAGCATGATATGTGCACTTATAACCACTACACTTTTATACACCATACATTGATCTAGGATCAAGCTTGCAGTAATCTTAAGACTTTTTTTTTAATACATATGTCTCTTATATACTTATACAGCTGTATTTGTATTACATTTATACTAAGCAGCAAACAATATTGCTTCTAGTATGTGTGCATCTATTAAACCCTTAAATGGGAAAAATTAATTTTTCACTGTTCCTAAAACTTGGACATAGTGCATGATTATACAAAGTACCTCGTCCAAACACTATAATTCCACTATTGCATAATTATTCAATTTTACATATAAGATTGATCTATGTTATATAGATATATATAAAAAGATTTAAGTATTAATTTATATATAAGAACCTTTATAAATATACATGTATGTACATATATACATTTATGCATGTATGGGTTCCCAAAAATTTAGATTTTTTTATATATTATTATTTCGTAATCAATTGAATGTTTTAGGCACCAGTATAGTAATATAAATCGATAAAATATTTTACATATAATAATTTCAGCGATTATAAAATATAATATTAGCATAATTTTTTAAAATGTGATATTTTTAATTTAAATTAGTACATTATTCACATACTGCCATATTCAGAAACATTTAATTATATTATTCAGTGTGGTACTAATTCTTTTATTCTGTGTTCTGATTTTTTAAACGCTCAAATAATTTTAAAATTGTTATTATTATACAAGATAATTACAATTTGAATTATGTAATTTGATATATTGTTTATCTAAACTGTATAAAAAAATAATAAAGAAATCAAGTTCCCCATTATTACAAAATTATTTTTACTGATTTATACTTTATTTTACTTTATTTTCGGTTACAGTGGCAATAGACTTGATAGTGCAACATATAAGAGACTTCTTAAGCAACAGAGGTAGAGATACAGTTCAACCTGAAAATTCAATAAACAGGACAGATAAGTTGTCCAAGAGGCCACATTAATTCTTCGAATTCTGGAGATTAATAGAAAATTAACTAACAATGAGTTATTGTAATATGTATCTTTTGTTATTTTCAATAATCATATATTTTTTAATATCGCTATTAAATTAGTAATACACATAAAAAGATGATTAAGTTTCAAAAAAATATACTATAAGCTGTTTTTTTACTCCATTTTAGTATCAGTTGTACACATAGAAATTGAAACGTATTTGAGAGTTGATATTACATTTTGCAATATGAGGAACAATATATTTCTAGAGATTAAATTTGTAAAAATAATGTAGCAATACTTAGATATTAAATAGCAATAACATTAGTAAGCTTCTGCATTGTAAACAGCAATTAGTTTCAAGAATTTAAGATAAGATTGTTTTTGTTGTTGCTATTTATGTTTGTTTATTGTATAGTTATTATATACATTACATACTTAAATATCATGTAAAATACAAAATCAAAAATGCTTAAATATAAAATTTACTATTACTGTTATTATATATATACATAACATTAACTTATATAATATTAATTATTAATTATTGATAATACAGTTCTAAATTCATGCCATCATGAATTTCATCTGAATTGTTATGTTAAGAAAAATGCTATATTGTTAATAATTATCTTCTGTGAAAATATATTTTGTTTGAAAGGATACAATCTTGTAATTTTATGTGATCCTTAAATATAGTATACCACTTTTTTAAAACTATCTTTTCCCAATGAGTTCCAGTTTGGGCTGCTATTAATTTTTTTAAATCCCCTATTGTATCATCTGGATTGCATTTAACTCTAACTTTTTTACCAAGACGATCATTACATGTTATTTCTAGCATTTTTTACCTTGAAATAAATAATTATTCAAAAGGTATTGTATTTATATGTATATTAATAATAAATATAAAAAATAAATACATCCAATTACAATTTTAAAAACTAATTTTTGATTAATATCAATGAATATATATTCACATTAATAAAAGCGAGATCTCTTTAAAATCTAAATAAATATATGAATCTAATAATAGGATAAAACATAAGCTTTAAATGCAACTTAAATTAATTTCGTTTATCAAACCAATATTCAGAAAAGAAAATTTGCATTTTGCATTTTTATCATAAAAATTTTGATTCTATACAAGATACAGCCATGAAGGTTATGAAATGAAATATCAATAACGACAAATGTACAAAATACTTAGCTTTAAGATTTTCCACATTCAGTTCTGTATCACGTATCACTTTATAAAAAGTATCTTTTATATGTAATCGATAGTATTTCTTATTTACAAATAAATATTAATATGATATCTACTTACGGTATATTACAACGTTACTAGAACCAGAGAGGAAATTTTATTGGCGTGTATTTCTACTAAAACGAAATACTCCTGTAACGCTGGCAGGTGAACTTGATTGTCATATGAATCCGCCCTTAATATATTTAATGACCATATACGTTGTTTACCTCTCCGATATGATGCTGATATGATGCTCCGATATTTATATCCGATCCGAGCAGAGCCCGTAATAGTCTCACTAATAAGTAATAAATATTACTTGACGACCACGAGCAAAAACGTTTGCATATTGTTATTGTTATTGTTAACTTTAATCGACGCAACGTCGACGCTCGTCCATGAATATGCAGAGGATGTCGACTATAACCGACACTTGTACCGTGTTTGTACCGAAGAGGTTAAGTGGCTCCCCGTAGAGTAAATGTTAAGAATGTTTTATGTCGCAATCTAGTAGCGGTAAATATGAATTGTACGGTAGTGTAGTCGAGACAATGAACAAAAGAAGTTCGATAATAAATTTATTGATTATTACTGATAACTACTTGTAATCATTCGTTAATCTGCATATTATGCAGATTACTTTCTTTACCATAAGCACTTGTAAAGACAAATCAGATCTATATCTATTAACATAAATTATTAACAACCTTCTCGATTGGATATGAAATAAATCGCATTTTATCATGTAAAATCGAAAATATGTGTAAATCAAACAACGTAAAGAGAGTTTTATCGTTGAGCAAGGGGTCAAATCCCGATAATTGTAAAAATGTTAAAATCTTCTTAATTTGTAATTAATTATTTAAATATACATTGTTCTAAAGATTCCGCATAGAAGTTCATTAATTTTTAAATAATTCAATAGTTTCGATTCTATTTAAGAACCACAAAATAAATTTACAAAACGCGAATGAAATGTCTCTGTACTTCATGAGCAAACAACCCAGCCCAAAACTGCCAAAATCCCTAAGCAGCCACTCAATACATACTTCGATTGAACTTGCTCGTAAATGGATTTCTAAATTATTATATTACGTTTTGTATATGTCAACAGTCAGTGTTACAAAACTCAAAATGTTAACAAAAGGGAGAAATTAACACGGATATCTTACCACTTTTAATAATAACTAGCACATTTCTTGCAATAAGTTACTCTAGATTCTGATCCTGAAGAAAAATATAGATACAAAAGAGAATACATTCACGTAGGTATTCTTGATAATTTTCTGCCTTGCTATTACCGAATTTATATTCAACGATGGCGGATGCATCAGATCTTCCCGGCGCTTCTTCCAGTCAAAAAATGTCATCAAAGCTTTTAAGGCAAAAAGCTCAGGAATTTTTAACTTCGAGAAAACGAGCAAATAATTTAGTAGATATAATTTCTCAATGGGATGTAAGTACGAATTCTAAAATTGTTTCAAATTGATGAATGTATCAACTTTTTAAGGTTATGTCATTTATTAAAATTCCTGATCACTCTATCAGGAATCCACTTCGTCCTGCCTGCTCACAATAGAAACAATATTCGTTGAAGTCCTAAAAAGAGGTGATATGTATTTGGAACGTACGATATCCCTTACTATTTCAGGTATCCTCAAATAGTTTAGTATTTTCTACTGTTTGGCAATATTTGACATTATACAATACATCTCTGAATTTCTTGATAAGAATTGTAAATTCTTATGTATTAATACTTTGTGAAAATACATTTTTGGACACAAAGTATAAGCATAAAGATAGAAGATACATGTTTATTTTTTAATTTTGTATGTGCCTGAAAACTTGAAATAGCTTTTCCATAAGATTTCTGAAACAGAGCCAAGCCCTGAAGCAAGATATGTCAACTGGTTGAGGAATTGTTATGAAGAAATATGGGAAAAGATACTTACATCAATGGAAAAATGTCGACCTGGCATTCAACTACAAGCTCTCACTACTGCTATAAAACTGATGGCTGAAGAAGGTAAAAATCCATTGGAACCAATTGGCAACTTGGGATATTATTTTCCACTTCATCGGTTAAAGCCCATTTTGATGAAATTACTTTCACCGGAGGAGGACAATGCCAGTTTAATATGTAGATTTCAAGAAATTATAGAATATCCTGATGCTCTTTACTATACATGGAAATGTCTTCCATCTCTTACCCCAAAAAGACAGCCACATGAAGTTTATATTAAAAATTTGTTGGAACTTATACATAAATTATCATTGCCAAAAGAAATTGAAGGTATAAATTAAATAGATTAAATATGATTTTACCACTTCTTTTAACATTAATATCTAACTTAAATTTTAATCATGTTTCAGAAAATGAGATGTGTGAAAATAAGAATTTATTGTGTAAACCACAGCAAGGTAATAGATATATTTTCTATAGTCTTTTCTTGTATTTAAGCTAATTATAATTTTTTATATATTCATATCTTTTTTTTTAGCTACTAAAAATTTTATATGGGATCAAGCTGGAGCAAGACGTGCATTGAATAAAGTCTGGGCTTGTGTCATGCATTGGGAATTGACACCACAGTTACATAAACAATTATTAATAGTTCTTTTAGAGAGAGTAATGCCACATTTAGAAAAACCTGTTTTACTAACAGATTTTCTTATGGATTCATTAGATGCAGATGGGCCTATTGGCTTACTTGCATTACAAGGTGTATTTTTACTAGTTACCAAACATAATTTGGAATATCCTAATATTTTTACCAAGCTTTATTCTATGTTTGAACCAGAGATCTTTCATACAAAATACAAAGCACGTTTGTTTTATTTGTCCGATCTTTTCCTCAGTTCAACGTAAGTGCTCAAACTGTATGATATTTTTGTATGTTATATAAAAATTACCACATACTTTTTTATTTTTAGACACTTGCCGGAAGCATTAGTTGCTGCTTTCGCAAAAAGACTTGCGCGTTTAACTCTTGTAGCACCACCTGAAGATATTCTTATTATCTTATTGTTTGTTGGGAATCTTTTACTTAGGCATCCTGGCTTGAAACGTCTCATTGATCATCCACAAGGAGGAGAGGTTTCGTCAGAAGAAAATAATGGTGCTGGAGACCCATTTTTAATGGAAGAACGAGATCCTTTATTAAGTAACGCACTCCTTAGTAGTCTTTGGGAAATTAAAGCCTTACAGTGGCATATAGTACCAAGTATTGCTAGTGCTGCACGTTTCATTCGTGAACCCCTCCCTTCTGTAGAGTATGATATGGCATCAGCTTTAGAACGTACTGGAGGACATTTATTCGATAGTGAGTTAAAAAATAAGGTTAAAGATATAATGCTAACGTTCGAAAGACCCAATTCAATGTCATTACCAAAAGGTGAAAGATTATTGCAATATTGGCAATTAACAACAATGCACTGACTGACAATATTAAAATTGTATTGTGCAATATGCATCTTTATCAAGAACGGAACTGTTTTTTCAATGAAAACGCAAAAAAAGAATGATGCTGAACTTCCTGCGTTTTTTTATACGTTAAAAAATGTAGTATGAGATATTGCATACTTTTGTATTATTTAAAGTCTAAAAGTAATTGCAATGGAATTGATTCAAAATACATTATTTCACGAGCAACATGTAGATATGTATTTTTAGATTTCCAACCATGCAGCTATTTAGCACAATAGATACCATTTTTGTTAAATAAAGTCATTTGTATGCATGAATGTGTGATAATAAAATGAAAGATATTTTAATTTAATAGATCACTCGTGTTTTATTTATAACGTATTGTCTACTTAATATATATCATATAGGTAAACATAAGTGGACTTCATAATAAAATCGTATCATGATACAATCTTATATTTTTAACAAGTATTTAAGTATTTAACAAGTATTGAAATAATCCCATACTTAACTATGATACATTTAAATAAGCGCTCCACGTATTATTATCGATTATTATGTATAAAAATATCTATGTACATAAATAGTAGTATTTAATCTGAATACTTTCATATAAATCTTCTATTCTCCAAAATCTGAAAGAAAAATACAAAATTTATATGAAAAAAAGTTATTTTTCTTATCATACATACAATGTATTATATAAAAACTACTACAAACCCATGTCAATTGTCGCCATTCATCTTCACTTAATGTATGCTTTATCTTCACTAAAATATTTGCTGGAATCTCGGGAACTGTAGCTGATATATGTTCTTTAGTGGGTATATACTCCACTTGCAAAAGCTCAGCTACCGTTGGTCGTGCTTTTGGATCATGTTGTAGACATTTACGCATTACATCAATTAAGATTGGTGGCGACGGCATAACTTTATTAGCATCTTCTGATTGCAAAGTTGTAGGAAAAGGAATGTTTAACTTCGGATTAGTTATTGCGTTCACTTTAGCCCATTGTGAACGAATATGATGAAACGGAGTATGACCATATACTAAACTATACAAAATACATCCTAAAGACCACACATCTGACTTAAAACTTATCTACAAAATAAATATATTTGTTTTATTATCTTTTAGGTTCCGATTTTGATTATATCTAAAAAGTCATCTTCATACTTTATATTTAACATTCTGTGAGGGAGAATCTGAATTTCCACCAATATCCATTAGGGCTTCAGGGCTAATATAATTCAAAGTTCCAATTGGACAGTTTTTCACAACAGATGTCATATCAGCATTCATACTAGAAGCAATTCCAAAATCTATAAGTTTTAATCGTCCCCGTACTAACAAAAAATTTGCTGGTTTCAAATCTGAATGAATTACTCCTAAAAATGTATATATGTAAAATATAATCTATTACATAAAAAATTATATAATAAATAAGTGATTATCCCATAGTAAGATATTTACCATTTTCATGTATATGCTTAACGGCTGTCAACATTTCTGTCCAATAATATAAAATCATTGTAAGAGGAATCTGTTTTTCTTGTGACATAGTTTTCAAAAGACGACTGAGATCAGTGTCTCCCATTTCCATTACTACATAGACCATAGGATACTTAATTTCACTAAAATGAGAAACTTGAATGTAAATGTCAGTATATGTAATATGTACAATATATATTTTTGTAAAATAAGTTCTTACTAATCAAACATTTTAACAATACATGGTGCTTGTAATTTATGTAACATTGAAATTTCTTCTAAGCAACCTTGTGCAGAGTCCTTGTCCATACGATTAAGATTAACACATTTAATAGCACACAACTGAAGAGAAGATAAATCTTGTACTCTCAAAACCTCTCCACTCATACCTTGACCAAGTACACCCAAAATTAAATACTCTTTTCCTTTAACAAAAAGAGTTCTAGTTTGCCTAGATTTAGGAACATTAGATGGGATTGAGAATTGTACATTTGATGGTTTATCTACAATTTTATTTAAGTCTTGTTGTTGGTTTTGATTATTGACTTCTGAATGCTGATTCTGAGGATAATTGCACATTGATTTCAAGATATCTTTATTGTCTTTAATACAAGATGGAGCCTGTTTATTATTTGGTATTTTATTTACTGTTTCTTTATCCAGCAATGTATTATTTTTATTTGGATGTTTGTTTTCTTTTAATTCTTCGTTAACATCTGATTCTAGATGTACATTTTCTGATGTCTCAGATATTTGCTTTGGCAAATCTGTTTTATATAAATTTTTACATAACGATTTTTCTTGAATTTTAGGTGTTACTTCATTTACTTTAGGAAGTTGAGATCCTTGTAATAAATGTCTACTGAAAGCATCATTTTGTACCAAACTTCCTGTATCTGATAAAGGTCTTCTTACCTTACCTTCTGTATCCAAATATCTATAATTAAATAATACATATTTAAATAAAAGAAATTAATAATAACTATGTAAATTATTTACATTGCATTATATACATATATATATATATACCTTGGAGTTTCATGTTTTCCTATGCTTGATGTAAAATAATAAGAATTTTTTGGAGTTTGCATAGAATCTTTAAAATTAACACTTTTATTCTGTAATGGAGTTTGTTTTATGTTATTTAGAGACCAATGAGATAAGATTGTAGCTGGTGTTAACCCATGATTCTTAGATACATCAGATACTTTGTTTTGTGGTGTTTGTGTAATATTTCTACGAGAGAAACATGGGTCTGGGCGTGTAGAATTAATTGGCACATGTTTTAAAGGAGTTTGTAATATCCACTGATCGTTAGAATTTATATATGTTCCTGTATCTGATATTAATGTTTTACTTGTGGAAGCAATGTTTTCACTATGAGCTTTTTCTTCATTTATTATGGAACTTGATTCTATTGTTACTTTCTTACTACTTGTATTCTGCAAATTATCCACTCCAGACTGTGATATACTTTCAAAATATTGAGATGCACAAGTAATAGATTCCCTTCTACTGTTCATTTTGGAAATACTCTGTTGGTCTAAAAGTTGGTCCTGATTTAATTCTCCTTTATTATCTATATTAGTAATATATTTATTTTTGTGTTCAGTTTGTGAAAGCTTTTCTTGTGCATGATTTTCAATACTTAATTGCATCTGGTTTGATTGTTCACACTTTACACTTCTTTCAATTACATCATGTTCATGTTCGTGAAATGTTAATTTATTTTCAGGCTTAGATTCTACATTGTTAATTAACACATATTCTTCAGGTTTTGAAGAAACAATTATCTCTGAAACCTTACAACTTCCATCTAACTCATTACATGTTGTATTAAATAAAGATAATGACTTATTCAATTCATCTTCAACATGATCATCCTGTGGTAGAGGTTGAGGATCATCAGAATCTGATTCATTATCAGAGTCTTGTGGTCTATCTTCGCTTTCATCATCATCACTTTCACAAAAATGCAATAACTCTTTCACACGTATTGGTTGAAATTTTGGTCGTGAAATGGTATGATTTTGATAATCCATACTATTCAACATGCATCTATTATGCTGACAGATCTGATATTAAAAAAATACTGTAATTAATATACACTAATAGAAAAAGAATAATAAACATGTAAATATATGTACAGTATAATATTACTTCAGAATATTAAAATTTATTAAAACTATTAGACATCCAGAGCCTTTGATATATTTAAAAATTATCAAAATATCGTGAGGATTAAATAAAACAAAACATTTCGAACTATTTCCACTTTGTTGGCCTGAAAGCATTATCGTACCTATAATTATAAAAATCGCTTGAACCGTAACACTCAACAAACAGTTTTTGAATGCATTAATAAAAATGTGAGACACATTTCATTAAATATTATCAGAAACACTTAACTTTGAGAATATATTCATCAAAATGCATAATTGACTTTTGTGATTCTAAACTGTTTGGTTTGTATCATACTGGTTTTTCGTTTACGTCATGAAATTCAAACCTTAAATACAGCCGTTGATTGGTCGATGCTAACAGTGTTGCAATACGCAACATTCTACTTTTAGGGATATTTCACAAAATTGCATTAGCGCTTTTCACGTATATTAGTTCCAAATGTAACATTGATATTAAATATTAAAAGGTGTTTTTTTTTATTAAATTAATATAATAAAATTAACATAAAATAATGTTTTTTAATATTTTACATAATGACGTGTTACAGTATATTATGTTATATTACAATGATTTGTGTTTATACTTGAAAGAAAATTCAGTAATATAGAATAAATGACAGAGAAACAATGATTGATTTTAACGTAAAATACAATTCATTTACTAATACATATTCTCTGAACATTATAAATGCTTACATCTTACGAGAAAATTTCACTTCACCGAAATTTTAAAAATTAATTATTTTGGAATTTTATGTTTTACAATGAAGTTTAAATTTTTATCTAATTGTTAAAGTAGATTAAATGTACAATATTGAGGATCGATAATGAAAAAATGCGAGAATGTACTTATTTAAGATATCCAAAATATATAATAAAATGTACCTTGTATGTATCTTACTTTTAAATAATTTTAATTTAGTTTAACTATATTTGTTTAAAAAATTACTGTTTAAAAATACATAACTTATTTGGTTTAATACATAAATAACAATTTTGAACACTTATAATAATTGTAATAAAAAAATTGTATTAATCATTTTATTTTACTATATTAAAATATGCACTGTTTATGTTAAATATATATCATATTCAGAAAATTTCTGAGATTTTGTTTCTGGCCACTAAATCTTGCATATAATACGTTTTCGAAGAATTGCGATAGAAAACAAGATTTTATAGAATAATATACAGTCTTTACTTTTAAATTTGCTTTATACCTTATTTATCTGTGAGCTTAATATTTATTAAGATAAATCATGTATAAATAAATTGCTTTTTTAAGCAGCTTAATTAATATTTAAATTAAATTATATTTAACAAATTTTCAATTTATATAATTATCGTTTTTCTTGCTTAAAGAAACAATCGATATCCGCTGCTACCTGCTCCTGTACTTCGAGATCGGTCTTGTGTTTTAAACACTAGTAGGTAGCAATTACGGAGATGTAAAACATTTAAACAGATACACTTTATCATAATTCTCATCTGCATCCTTACTCCCTAGTAATTATTTTAAGTATGTATTTCATTTTTGTTGTTTCAATCGACCAGAATTGATATAACCATAAAAGTATGATTTTTGATACGAAAGAAAATTGTTACTAAAGCTGAAATAAAAATGAACATGGCGCTTGGTGAACATTGATAGTTTGGTACATCGCTCTTAATCTTTTCGGTACGCTATAAATACCGTGGAAAAATCCGAAAAGTTAGAGTGTCGCATTCAAACTTTAAATTACAGAATGATTAAACAAAACGATTAGTATTTCAGCGCCCTGCTAAGATGTGTAAAGATCAATATAAAAAATAATATTTTATTTAATCCTTAGGGACGAAATTAGGAATTGTATTTTGAGTAATGAAAAAATGTTCTAGACTATGTTGCAATGTTCTTAACGTTTTCCATTATTATAATTAACAGCTCGCAATGGTGCTTTAAACGTTGATGCAGACTGTTGTTGAAACTGATATGCTAGAGGATGAATTTTAAAGCCATATAACCTGTAAAAATATTATTTTACGTAATTTTAACAAAATTATATATTTGGTATTAAAATTCAAACAAATTTTTATACACATTTGCAAAAATGTTTTAAAATGGAAATCAGTTTTATTTCAACTTACCTAGGTACAAATTGATTTGTTGGACGTTTAGGTCTATATTCTGGATGAACCATAAAAAGCATGTGGGGAAACCCTGTTCCAAAATATGCTCCATCAGTATGATGATGTCGAGAGCTTTTGGGTGTATAAACATCCATACACTTTGGACAATAACTTTTAACCATTGCTTCTCCAGGAACATCACTAAGACCCAGAGGCAACATAGGTTGGGATTCACAATATACACGTGGGCAATGACCAAAGTCTCCAGCTTGATATTTTTCAATCATTTGAGCAATGCCACGATTAGTGAGAATGTAACGTGCATGAATCAGTCCATAAAGAAGCTCTGCTGCTTGTTCAATTAATTCAGACTGATTTGGATGGCCATCCAATTCATCATCTACAGGATAAAAACAAGCTTAAAAGTACTTTGATATTTTCTGGCATGGTGTAAATAATATATTTACCAGGTTCAAGATCAAGTATCATATCTAATGCTTGCCTATAATGTGGTACTTGCTCATTTAATCCAGTTAAATTAAACTTGTCCTGAATATAGTCCTCGTCGACCTATAAGAAGATTGTATTAACAATTCTATATAATATAAAATATAATTGCCAAATCATTGAATTTTGAAATGTAAATATTATCAAATATTGTACAAAAATAAAAATTTATATGGAATTGTGATACAGACATGGAATTTGTTTTGAACAATCAACAACTTTAAAACTTTTAACCTCAAAAATGTGAACTAGGTCAAGATATATACAATTAAAATGAAATATTATGACAAAAAAAGTACTTACCTCACAAAAAAATTCATTGCCTCTAAGATTGCAAAACCACGAAATCCAGGATACCTCCTCAGAACTGCTCATTTTCCTATGAATAAAAAAAATGAAAGAAATATTTTTCCTATCAGCCTACGAAGTAGAAGAGATCACCGCGTTAAAGGAGCGCAGGATTCGTATATAATGCGTAAAGGTACGTGCGCAAAAAAGTTCTCAGATCTCCGTATATTATCCACACGTACATACGACGTCAGTACTTAGTGCACGCCTGGCAATTGGTTAGAAAGGCGCCAACGAAAGGCTAGGTATGGGGAGATCAGGGTGAGGGGAGCAAATGGAGTTTTCACTTTACTAGGCAAGATGCTCGACGTTACAGCCTATCCGGCGGTTCACCTACGTTTCCGTGGTCATTGCTGCTTCGTCAACTGATTTTCAAACACGATGTACAGTCCGACACGGCCAGGAAGCACATTACTCGAGAAAAAACCTTGTAGGACGAATGAAAACCCAAAAATAAACAGCCTTTACGGCTTACCTTTTGGTGCTTTGATTAGCCACGCTTGCTCGTCCCAACGATGTAGATAGCGCTGCCGTACTTTATTCTATCCGCCACCTTCCGGCTTCTTTTCAGAAATTCTTCTTTTATTTAAACCTTTCTAATTAGAACCTTACTTTTTATATAAAGATACTGAAATTTTACTACCTGTTGAATGAACGTTAATATTTATAATAATTATTTTAGTCAAATTTTTATATTTTCATAAACAATTTTTTCTCTACTTCATTGACCAATGAACGATCAATGTATTTCCAATACACTACTTCAGCCGCAAATTTCCTACGCTTTATTTAACTGACACTCAATTAAATAGAGTATAAGCGTTAAACCACGCCATTTTTCTGCTCTTCCTTTGGTTCCGATAAGAACTTTGTCCACAATCAAAAAGATTTTAAACCGATACGCATATTATATTAGTATCACGTGACCTGTTTCCTAGCAACTTTAACAACATAAAATTAATAAACTCACTAGATCTAATATTTTTGTACTGCAATTGTATCTCACATTTGATATAGATAGTTATTTATATTCTATTTATATATACATATATGAATGTCTATTACTATATTCAAAATTTTATAGTATATTTTGTATATGTATTCTTAATACGATATTGGGTGTAACTTGATATTATTATTTGTGATAAACATACAATTAAAATGACAACTGTAATTGTAATTGCGTATAAGCTAAGAGTACTATAACTGCTTATAGAATTTAAGCTGTATTATCTGTAAATAATATACAATTGAGTCATTACTGGACAATTAGATAAAGCTAGGTGCCATTTAGAACGTAGAGGGCAATTATATTTATAATTCTTATCAGTTTGAATAATTTTCTTAAAATTCACTACATGTTAAAAGAGAATAAGATTAATTACAGTACGTATAACCTCATAATTGTATTTTTCAATCATCCTATTAAGTACTAATTTACTTGTAGATGAATATGTGGTTTTGGTTTGGAAACAATTTAGGCAACTTTCTTTTACCGAAGTATAATGTTACTACAACTTCCAGTTTCTTCTGCACCTGCTTAGGTTTATTTGCACTTGCAATATTATACGAGGGTATGAAAGTTTTACAAATTAAATTACATCAAAGTACTTCAACCCTTATACAAAATCAAAGCCCAACAATATCAGAGAATTCTTGTTTACTGTCTAAAATATCTTCAAGATCTATTAGAAAACATGTTTCTTTACATTGGTATTATATTTTATAAATTATTAAATTATAGAAGCAGGTTAATATTACCATAAGTTACTGTTATATATTGTTCTACTAGTATGCAATGGTCTACATGGAGTTTTCAAGTATTTCATTGGTTTGTACATACCTTTCTTGGTTATCTTTTAATGTTAGCTATTATGACATATAATGTATACATAAATATTGCTATTGTACTGGGAGGAGGTCTTGGATATTGGATATTTGGCCTAAAACTTATAGAACTGAATGTGGAACGATTTTTTGAAAAACGTACTCTGTTAGATTGTGATAAGGAATGTGCTGGTAAGTTTTAATTGTTCTTTAAAATATTAAAAGTCTCATAACATTTATAACTATTTTTAGATAACATAGTACATTGCCAGGGAGATGAATTAACAGTCTCTGTTATCGCTGAACAGTTTGTAACAGAAGCTACTGTTGAGGTTCATATGCCAAAAGATGCTTTACAACATTAAAAATAGTAAATATGTAAAATATTCTATTTTATACATATTGTATATATTTTAATTAATCATACAATAACATTTAAACTGAACTTACATGCTAATTCTCATTTAATAAAAATATATTCCTTCTTTATGTTATAGTTAAATATTTTCTTCTTGCTCAAATAATTGTCGATAACAATTAGTATTGCCAGACAAGAAATGGTCATATGGATTTTGTGTATTAATATGCTCTCCACAAAGCCAGCAAAAAGAAGCTTGACAATAATTGCAGGTCATTTTGTTGCATCCTCCATTTTTTTCGGCTATGGTTCCACAATTTGGACATGACTTGGTATTTGTCTGTAAACAATATTATTACATTATAAAACTGCTACAAATACAAATAGTTTACTATTGTTAAAACTTAATACATACTTTTATATATTCTTGTGTTAAATATTCTTCTGCAACTCTTTGTATCTGTTTTCTACCATATTTTGCTTCTAATTGTTTTCTTTCACGTTTACTACCATTTTTATATTCTTCAATAAGTTTTAATCTGCTATCTGAAGACATAGCACACGGTTCAACCCCATGATATACCTTAAAATATACATTTAAGTAGTATGCATTTATTATATTGTACTTATCTTTTTTATATTACAAAATCTTATACCTTATAACAGTAAGTACAAAATGTATAGTCACATTTGCTACAAATTCCTAGTGTGTCATCATAAGTTTTCACAGATGGACATTGACATGACATTCTCGGACAAAAGATTATGTCTTTCATAGAATTCAATGACACACGTAGTAAAGCTTTTTCATATTGTGAAAATGATTCTGGACAAAGTCTTTTAACTTCATTAATTGTAATATCAAGATTGCAGCTTAAATCAGGGCAAGTAATGCCAGTTACATTATCTTCCTTAATTTTTATAGTAATATATTCAGATATACAATTTTTGCAATATATGTGTCCACAATTTTTAAGTTTTATACACTTTTGTCCACAAAATTTATCAAAACATATGATACACTCAAAGTAATTATTTTGAAATTCTATCTCTTCTACATATTCATTATGACTTAGTAAAAATTGTAATGGATCACCAGATAAATTATTGTATACAGCTCTAACATCATTTTGAAATATTGTATTTGAATCACAATATGTCGTATACATAAATGAAATATCTAATGTGTCTTTAATGTTCAGAAATTGAAGGATATCATTCCTTAGAAATTCGAACCACAAAAACAATATTTCCTGTCCATTGTTTTCGAACCATATCTCATCTAATTTCTGACAAATAAAAGATATTTGCCAAGGTGAAAGCCAGGAAGAAATAATACAAAAATTTGGCGACCTTTTAGTAGGATAATCAACACCCAGTTCCAAGCGCACTTTAATAGGTGGCAAATATTTGATAAAATAAGGATGGAATGAGTGAGAATTTTGTTCATCAACATTTTCGAGTTTTAATAAACCGTCACTGATATTAACAAATACGTTATAGTAGCAGTATATTATATTATTTTTGCAATAAGAAAATTCATTCTTGCTATAAATACTTGAAATTGCTAAGACTTCGTCTTCTTGTCGTTTTAGATTATCAATTATGCACCTTGACATTTTCAAAGCTTTATGAATTACTTGATACTTTTAGTTTTTATCAAATTTTTCGTTTTAAGCTTGAATACATTTACCAATAAAGGAAACTAGAAGTCAACAACCTTCTCCTTCACAAGCACGTGTAGATATAACGTAACGTAACGTAAACATATGACTAAGAAAACACAGATGAAACTATAGAGTATATAGAATAGGAGCTCAAGTACAGTGAGTAACCAAAATATTCGAACGGCGTGAATTGAGTGGGAAAAGATCGAAAACAAGTAAGCCTAAACAGGAAGTTATTGCGAAATTAAGAGTATGTTAAATTAAAAACGCCTAAGAAAAGAAAATCGGATAAAGAAATCACGTCTCTTCTAAACTACAGTAATAATAAAAAGTGAAATAATAAAAAAGTATAACGATGACAACTATTGCAAATAAATCATCTCTTCTATAGACTGTGTAATCTATGAAATAGAAAACTTAAGGACTATTGGCGCGTAATTATGAAATAATATTTAGTGTTTCTACGCATACACATATAAGCAATAGCTTTTACATTCACAAATAATTATATATAATTAATGTACAAATAATTATTCAGCAAAATATTATCACAAACTTTTATAGAAAGATCAAATGTTTTAGTAAGAATTATCACATATCATGATGATGATGGCTTATCATCATGACAATCATTTTGCAATTCATATTACAGTTCCGTTTTCAGAAAAATATATGTACGGTTGAGGGAAAAATATATGTAAGTGGTTTAACTGTTTTTATTTAATATAGGTACAAAGAATTAAAATTTACGAGACAATAAAGATAGCATAGTGTAATTAATTCTATATTAATATGTTTCTGTTTTTTTAAATCTATGAAATTACTATAATATAAGATTAGTAAATTAGAATTATAAATTACGATAATATAAGATTAATAAATTAAATATTCATGAATAAAAAATAATAAAGTATACATTGTATAAAATTCAAAAGGATAGAGATACTGCATAATAGCAAAACGATACACGCACAACTGAGATTAAATTGGGCCACGAGAAGTAAACAGGTTAGGTTGAAATTTAACCGTTGAATGTTCTATGAAACAGGAATTAATTTAAAATAAATAAAGACTTATTGTACAGGAATAAAATGGTAGAGGTAGAAGCAAAGCATATTCTTCACAGTGGCATTTTTCATCCTGTTTTACGACAATGGCAATCACCAAATGTAGAGATTACGGTTAATGCTCTCATGTATCCAATCTTCATCACGTAAGTGAAATTCATATCTACCGCTTTTATTCATTTACGTATATATGGTAAGCATGTCTATTTATGCTTATTGCTTGTAGATTTTTTATGAAATATGTTAATATTTGCATTTTAAAATAACAGATGGGAAGTAATAAGTGAAAAGAGGGGTCAAATGTTTCCTGAGGTCAATTTGATGTTATTTGAAAATAATTTTTTGCTTGTTATATAAGTGTATAACAAGTAACATTATATTCATTTTAAAAAACATACATAATTGTGTTTTCTCAAAATTTGTACAGAGATATGAAGCAAGGAAACTTTAACGTCTAATTAATAATTTTATATAACGCTTCATTTTGTATATAGAAGGTGCATATTTACAGGGATGAACAAGATGCTAAAGATCCCATTGCTAGCATGCCAGGTGTTTATCGGTATGGCATTAATCATTTGCGAAAAATGTTACAGCCATTGGTTTCAAAAGGCTTACAGTCAATATTATTATTTGGAGTATCAAAACACTTGAAGAAGGTAACCTTTTACATAAAAGATCTAAGTAAAGTAATTAAAAAACAATATCTTTAATAGGATCATATTGGAAGTAATGCAGATAGTGCACAGAATCCCATTATTCAAGCTGTTCCATTAATAAGAAAATGGTTTCCAAATCTACTAATAGCATGCGATGTATGCTTATGCTCGTATACTATCCATGGCCATTGTGGAGTTTTAAATGAAGATGGGAGTATAAACAATAAAGCCAGTATTGAGCGAATTTCTGAAGTTGCACTTGCATATGCAAAAGCTGGTAGGATTGTTGTTTTTTTAAAATATATATAAATGATGTTACTTATTATCCATTTGCTTACAAAGGAGCTCAAATTGTGGCACCATCTGATATGATGGATGGAAGGATAAGTGCAATAAAAAAGAAACTAGCATTAGTTGGATTAATGAATAAAGTTGCAATTTTATCTTATGCTGTGAAATTTGCATCAGGATTTTATGGACCTTTTAGAGATGCTTCACAATCTGCACCTAAGTTTGGAGATAGAAAATGTTATCAATTACCTCCAGGAAGTAACGGATTAGCTGCTAGAGCGGCTGTTAGCTTTTATCTTTTCTGAATTTTTAATTATCTATTAATTTCTAAATATTAGTAAATACATATTTTCCTTTAGGCTAGAGATGTTTCTGAGGGAGCTGATATGCTTATAGTCAAACCAGGTTTACCTTACTTGGATGTTGTTAGACATACAAAAGATGCACATCCAGAGTATCCAATGTTTGTGTATCAGGTTTCAGGAGAATATGCAATGCTTTATCATGGTGCTAAAAATGGTGCAATAAATTTAGAGAATGTTTTAAAAGAAGTTCTTTTATCAATGAGAAGAGCAGGTGCTGATTGTATTATAACATATTTTACACCATTAATTTTAGATATGTTACAACCAAAAAGTAAATATTAATATGAGTAATTATGTAATTAAATGTTTGAGGACATTGATGCAAGATTAAATATACATGACATATGATATTAATATTTGGTGTGGTAAATAAAGTAAATATATTTATACATTCTTTTGTTCATTATTTCATAAAATTGATATAAAACGATGAAATGACGACTGAATGTTCCAATGATGATAGAAGAAAAAAAAATGATGTACATAGTTAATTGATGTAAAATAGAAGTCTCGTTACCGTTACATTCCATTACGTTGCAGTAGATACATAAAACGTCGAAACGATTGTTCGTCAAAACAAAGAATACAGAAAGGAGTCTTCTTTTTGTTTAGATATTCAGGTTATCATATCAAAGGATTATTTTTTCCAATTAATGATGCCTTTAATATGTACATATGTCTCTCTTATAATATCTATACGTAATAGATCTTTTTAAAAATATCTAATAAATGTAAATGATAAATCGACGAATAAATGTAGAATATATAAATACATTTTTATGGACATTTTATGTAAAGAATAATTAGAATGTAGTTAAATATCTATCCATAAAAAAACAATAAAGATCTTTATATATAACAGACGTTCTAAGTATACGAATATTTTCTTAATATACGATATGACAACGAGTGAATGGATATGGTTTTCGCGTGTTACATGAATTTCTCTTAGCATTGATTCCTCCAATCATAAGAGTACTCGAAATTTCCAGAAGTACGGTACCGTTGTGACGTGGGCCTATCGATAGCAGCCAACTGTATGTAGTTCAACCAACCAACATGCGCCTTTCCTTTAGTACGGATGCTTTGAGACCAATCAACGTAGGCCACGACGTATTCAGCTTGTTAATATCCCGGTACTGAGATAGGCCTGTAGTCAGTCATTCCTGGTTATTCGTGTTGTTCGGTAATTTTGTGCTGAGAATAATCAAGTTTTTTACTTACAAAAAGAAGAAAGAGGCGCACGTATATTTAATCTGGTAAGTAGCAAATATAGCCAAATATTATTTAGATAAATATAAATATTAATAAATCGAAAACGGTGTTACGTTTAAAGCTTCATAGAACCCTAAGAACACTTCATTATCTGCCACGTCTTGTTATAAAATATTGCGGTTTTTTTTTATATTTTATTCTAAGTAAAAGAATTCCTTCATAAATTTCTTTAAAACGCATAAAGTATTATTACATCGTTAACTTCAATTCCTAACAGAATGTAAAAGAACGTATTTCAAATGTCTCATAATTATAATGTACCATACAATAGCTAGCGGAATATGTTTGCCGAAATGAAACGTTATACGAATTAATGATTTTACTCATGATCTATTATTCTTGTTAACTACATTTATAAATAATGATGCTGTTACCTAATATTGCTTAAATTTTTATATAGTGCTTACTTTTTTATTGCATTAATTTTATGCGATAATTTTTTATACTTTCTACGTCGGTACTAGAATTTTCTATGTACCAATAATTCATGTTCTTTGTCATATTTTTTAATAATTAAACGCAAACTTGCAAGGTTATATCAAAATACTACATATTAAATAATTTATGCATTTAAAGAGTACAAATTTCAGGAATTGTATATTTCTTTTACAGAAGAGCATTTATATGAAAAAACATGAAGGGAGTTAAAGCTCTATTTTTCCTAGGCTTAGTAACTTTTGTTTTTACAAAAGAAGAGAAACAGAAGGAAGATATTGGGACTGTCATTGGAATTGACTTAGGCACAACATATTCTTGGTAATTAAGTTTAAATAACATTTAATACTGACATATGTACATATAGATGTTTAATGGAAAAGTTTATTGAGGAATGAATTATTTCAGTGTTGGAGTTTATAAAAATGGGAGGGCAGAGATTATAGCCAATGATCAAGGAAACAGAATTACACCTTCCTACGTGGCATTTACTGCTGATGGTGAACGTTTAATTGGAGATGCTGCAAAGAACCAACTGACCACAAATCCTGAGAATACAGTTTTTGATGCCAAACGATTAATTGGTAGAGAATGGTCAGATCCTACTGTACAGCGTGATATCAAGTTCTTTCCATTTAAAGTAATTGAGAAAAATAGCAAGCCACATATAAGAATGGCAATTAATGGAGAGGAAAAAGTGTTCGCACCTGAAGAAATCTCTGCTATGGTACTTGGTAAAATGAAGGAGACAGCAGAAGCATACTTAGGCAAAAAAGTTACTCATGCTGTTGTTACTGTACCAGCTTATTTTAACGATGCCCAGAGACAGGTAAATATAAGATATGTAGTTTAGAGAACAAATTATTAGGATATTAGTGACTAAATATGTATTAAAATAAGTACTGAACTAGTACTATAAGTTAATAAGTGATTATTTTTATTTAGGCTACTAAAGATGCAGGTACTATTTCTGGACTTGTCGTTATGAGAATCATCAATGAACCTACAGCTGCAGCAATTGCTTATGGTTTGGATAAGAAAGATGGAGAAAAGAACGTGTTAGTTTTTGACTTGGGTGGTGGTACCTTTGACGTCAGTTTGCTTACAATTGATAATGGAGTGTTTGAGGTTGTTGCAACAAACGGTGACACTCATTTAGGTGGTGAGGACTTTGATCAACGTGTAATGGATCACTTTACCAAACTGTATAAGAAGAAAAAAGGCAAAGATATTCGCAAGGATAGTAGAGCTTTACAAAAATTGCGTCGCGAAGTTGAGAAAGCTAAAAGAGCACTCAGTGTTAGCCACCAAGTATGTTTCACTATAATTTGCTCGAAAATGATTTAGTAATATCTATGAATAATATTTGTATAACTTATATCTTTATCTTGTCATAGGTGAGGATCGAAATTGAATCATTCTTCGAAGGTGAAGACTTCTCCGAGACTTTAACGCGTGCCAAATTTGAGGAGTTAAACATGGATCTTTTCCGTAGTACCTTGAAACCTGTACAAAAAGTCCTAGAAGATTCCGACATGAATAAGAAAGATGTAGATGAAATTGTACTCGTTGGAGGTTCCACTAGAATTCCCAAAGTTCAACAATTAGTTAAAGAATTCTTTGGCGGCAAGGAGCCGTCACGGGGTATTAATCCTGACGAGGCCGTCGCGTATGGTGCTGCTGTGCAAGCTGGTGTCCTTTCTGGAGAGCAAGATACAGATGCTATTGTACTTCTAGATGTCAACCCACTTACTATGGGTATTGAAACTGTTGGAGGTGTGATGACTAAACTCATTCCAAGGTAAGAAAATATTCGCTATCTTTCATGTTTATGTTTATGTATATAAATAATTTTATTTGTTTGCATAATTTTATTGTTTGTATAAAAAATGTATTTTTTATTTGTTTACAGGAATACCGTGATTCCGACCAAGAAATCGCAAATCTTTTCTACTGCGTCTGATAATCAACATACAGTAACTATCCAAGTATACGAAGGTGAACGTCCAATGACAAAAGACAACCATCTTCTGGGTAAATTCGATCTTACTGGCATCCCACCAGCACCAAGGGGTATACCACAAATTGAAGTTACCTTTGAAATCGATGCTAATGGTATTCTACAAGTATCTGCTGAGGACAAAGGAACTGGAAATCGGGAAAAGATTGTTATTACCAATGACCAAAACCGTCTTACTCCCGATGACATAGAAAGGATGATAAAGGATGCCGAGAAATTTGCTGATGACGACAAAAAATTAAAAGAACGAGTAGAAGCACGCAATGAACTCGAATCTTATGCATATTCTTTGAAAAATCAATTAGCTGATAAGGAGAAACTTGGCTCAAAAGTTAGCGATTCCGACAAGGCCAAAATGGAGGAAGCTATCGAAGAAAAAATTAAATGGTTAGAAGAGAATCCAGATACTGATCCAGAAGAATATAAGAAACAAAAGAAAGAACTTACGGATATTGTTCAGCCCATTATTGCCAAATTGTATCAGGGTGCAGGTGGTGGAGTTCCACCAACCGGAGGTGATGAAGAAGATCTGAAAGATGAGCTTTAACTAAAATATGATCAGTACTTGTATTCGTCCTAATTTAGACTGAATTAATACAGTCTCATGCAAATGTTGCAGAGATTAATACGTCGTTGATATGTCGAGTATAAAAGACTGATCGACGAACGTTTGTTATCCATTAAGTTACATCAGAAGTAAACAATACATGACTGTGGAGATCAATCTATGTATTGTACTATAGCGTATTTGTCATAACAGTCATGATTTTAATCTTCTCGATAAAAGAACATATATCTAATTGAAGGAATTTTATTACCGAGAGTAGCTTCACTAGTTTCCACATAAGATACTGCGCGTTAATTTATTTTAATTAATTGTTTTGTATGTTTCATTACATATAATGGAATAAGCAGTTGTGTAATTCGCGTTACAGGTTTTGCAATGTGCTGTGTGAGGACAGAGTGAATGTGCAAGCGTGTATGACTTGCGCCTATTACTGCCTGTAGATAAACTATATCGTACTATGTACAATATAGCTGTTCTGTGTGAATGAATGTCATATGTATCAGTATCACGGAAATAAACATTTTTTCAGTAAATTACAATAAAAGTACTCTTTTCAGTTATAATATACTAGGTATCTGAAAAGAAATAATATATAGAAATAGATTTGGAACAAATTTTATTTGAAGATATGATTTAATATCATAACAAAAACAATTGAAAATTCACAGATAGGATTAATTTTCTATAGTTTTAAATACCTATTGTGTTTAATCGAAATATAATATTAATAGATGTAATAATAGTAGTATAATATACTCTTTTGTATAATTTTTTAATATTTTTGCTTATTGAAGCAATTCAGTCACTAAATACTTTTTTCACATACAGATTTAGGTACAAAAATAACGTCGAAATCCCGTAACAACCATTTTCTGTAGTCGAATCTTCTGTGGTAAATTTCCTATGACTTTTTTTTACAGTATAGATTTTGGTTTTATAATTTACGAAAAGTAACTATATTAGAGACAAGATTAAAAAGTAATAATACTATTGTCGATCAACGAACGCAATCACACAAAATAAAGGACGTCATATCTCGCATAATAATTGATTAGCACAAAAACATATTATCGTACATTAGCGATGTTTTTTCTTCTACGAATACAATAGACATAGATCGAAATGAGTAAAACCATTTATGAATGCAATAGATATCGAAATGAATAATAAATAACTGATAACTATACATATTAAAAATACTTAAAATGAATGTCTACTTTGCAAGTTTAGAGTACTTTTTCCTTTAATAAAAACAGTAAGGCCGAAAAGTAGGCATTTTCGGAGGCATAATTAGTGCAACCCAATTGTGAATCCGTCGATATATTCAAAATATATACGAGGTATTTTTTAATTCTTTTTTGTACAATCGTAACATTTAACAGTTTTTTTGGCATTGCTTAAAAAGGTTTATATGTGATGGATGGTGAGCACTTTTCTAACGGATCATCGGAGGGTAGTACACTAAAAATGCAGGTACAATAAGTTTTTCTCCCCTTTTTTGAATCTCATTAATCCTAAAGAACATGTCATTACAATTATGTATAAGTCGAGACTCCGATAATTAATCAACAGTATGTTCGTGTGTAAAATATTTATATGAATATATATTCATGAAATGAATAATTTGTGCTTCCTGATGAAAATTAAATATCTCAGGTCGAAAAACCAGATCATTTCTTATAAGGAAGCTAACTTTTTTGTTTGAACTTGCTTTATCTTTTTATGCGTTACGCACATCATTCATTATGAAATGTAAAATTTTCACTTCTTCTTTTTTTCTTACGGTAAATATTCTTTTTTCTTCTTAACTAGTATTAACACATTGAATATATTGTTTTTCATATTTCATATAGGTAGAACAGTACAACCTGAACTCTTGTGTGGACTTTAAAAGAAAAGCGCACGTGTACAGTATCTTTCCAGGTGGATCTGTTTTTGCATTGCGGTAGTTTTTATGTTTTTTTCTTTTTTTTTTTCTTTTTAACATTCCGTTTTTAACATCGGACGTATTCTTACGATAGACAATGAACATGCCTAATTTAAGCTATACGATCGAAAAGAAATTTTCTTCATAATTTCATCGAAAGCATTAAAAAATCTAAAAGTATATACTTCCTTTATGATTAATGATTACAATATTGATAATCATTACGTTTTAATACCATTGCCAAGTCAATTAAAGATCGTAAAATATAATATGCAATAAAAATGGCAGTTGTAAAATGACAGTGATATAATACATAATTAATGATTATTTTAAAATTTATATGTTTCTCTTCGATCGTTAAATAAAAACATGTATGTTAAACTACTTTGCATGATGTAAACGATTAAAATAAGCTACAAGTATAGATGTAGCATATATTCTATTACTCTTAATGAGTAAACAATAACTAGATGCGCGACTATTAAAATATTTTTTCGCCTATCTTTCGTAATGTTTTTTACGAAAAAAATTAATTTCCTCCCTTTTATGAGACGACAAAATTTAACACTTAGCCAACCAAATGGAGATATCTCTCCACATTAAAGTAAATCGCTACACGGTCGATCGAATATCTCCCATTTAGACCTTAGGAACGCGTTTTTCTTTTATTATTATCAGTTATTGTTTACATGGAATTGTTTCCAAGTAATTGGACTTTTTCAGCTTTTATAAAGTACAGTATATAATAAAATACACTAATTTAGTGGTGTTGATTTGTTCGAGCACGATGAGAATAGTATAGTTCGGTGTGGCACGCGCGGTTGCTAAGTGTTAATACTTTATATAAATAATCTTCCAAATGCAATATAAAACTTCATGAATGTCTATTACCAAAAATTTATCTAAAAATATTTTTATTTTTTAATAACTTGTCATTTTTAGATAGTCTTCTAAGGCGTCGCGCAGCTAAGGCTGAAGATTACAGAATGAACTTCATTCGGAAAAATTTAACTTCTCATACAATAATTATTTTCGGTATTACAAACATAATTCTGCTTAAATCTTACTTTTTCTCTTTGAAGAAACTATAATGTTCTTATACTTTGCAGATTTATATGTATTAAAATTAATAATATGTAATTAACGTCGATCTATGAATTACCAAGTAGGCTGGAAAGAACACGTGAATATTTAAGCACTTAATTTAAATGTTTGTCAGACCTGAGAATCCATCCACGCTGTACTTTTTAGCAACATTTCTTAAGAAGAGTTTGCTTCTCGCTTTGGAAATCAAAGGATCCCACGAGGGTAATTCAAGGATCGAAATAGAAGCAGAGGTATCTCTCGATACTGCCACTTTTTTTTTTAACAAAAACTGATGTGCTAATAGATATAGATACTAATCAACAAATGAAGCAGATACATGGTGCGCCTCTGGTTACATTTACTTACTTTTTCACCTAGTTTGAACAATAACAATGTACTCTGTATCACAGTATTATATTAGTAGTGTATTTAGTATTTGTCGCATTTACTTTGGATATGGCAAATATGAAATAACAGTAAAATTATACTAATGTAAATCTATATTCTTTGGGGCTAAATGCATATCACAGTGGGAAAATTTTCAACATTTCTATCTTTTTTTTCAAATTCTTATTGGAATTTCCAGAAGCACACCAGTCTTCGATAATGTATCATCTTAAAGATCACGTTACATCTATATATCTTATTAAAGATATTACAGAAAGCTTTACCGCCAACCAGTGGAAATAAGCAGGCAATATTAAAGTAAAAGTATCTTTTACCATTAGTTAAAAATGCACCTTGGGTTATTTAAGATACTTATTTTGTATCTAATATGCAGTCTTATCCTAATTTTTTTAGCTGTGCAACTAATTTTATCAAATGGAAAGCGATAAATTAGTAAACATGTACCTGTTTTCTAAATGATACAAGATGGCCCATGCCGTTTCAAACATTTTCATTTATCTAATCAAGTGATTGATCACAGGTGTATCACATTCATTTACTTGTCAATTATTAATTCATTTATCATTGTATCGTTCTTTTAAATAAATATTTACAAAATTTGTTGGATCACTCTCTAAAGACAAATAAAATTACTATCAAAAGTTACACAGCTCACCCTAAACACTAAAAACATGCAGTAATTATTTAGTAATGTTTAGTAATGTGTTAGTATTAACATGATATAATTATAGGATTAGGAGTTAGTAATAAAAAATAATTAAGTGCCGAATCGTTCTTCCTTTCATCATATAAAACCTAACCCCTTAATCTACAACGTCGTGGTAGACTCATAGTACGTCCTTCGGGCCAAACATGAAGAACACGTGCGAGAACTGTGGTACGTCCTTCGGGCAACATGCGACAAACTCTCTTTTTTCTTGACTGAATTCGGAACTTAAATCGTAGGGAAAGGGGTTAAACAAACAAAGGAAAAATGTACATTAAATGTAGAAGTATAGTTTTGTACTAAAATGATTGATGTGAATTGTCAATATTAATATTTCAGTACGGAAAGAATTCGTTTAGACTAAATAATTTTTTCGGCGTTCTAAGATAAATTGTTTTTACATTCTACCTGAATGTGTCCTTTTGAATAGTCAAACATTATCATTTATTAATAATCTCCTTCGTTTTAATAGCAGAATTTCAATAAATGAAAAAGTTTAAGCCTCATTTACCAGTTTTTGTGGTACTTACAAATACGCAAAAGTTGCACGTTGATAGTGATTTTAAGTTTAATTTCAATTATTTTATATGCTCAACTAGTGCATGCTCTGACTACTGTATAAGTATCAGACTAGCAACATTTATAGATTATTGGAAACTATTTTACGAGTCTGATTTGTAGTAATCTAACTATTTTGAAGTATTTCTTAATCGATGGACTCATAAAAATTATTTTAGACTTATCTGTTTAAACATCGAATTAATGTCATTTTCAAAGCGTAATAATTGATTAGCTAGTACTGCTTGCCAAAGAAGAAATTGTTACGCATGCAGTGACTAAAATAGAGATTTTGCAAAAGCCTGTATAACTACAGGAACACTAGCATCAAAGCCGTTAATTGTCAAAACATTCTTGTCACTCTTCTGCTTACGATAAGTCGACGAAGAGCACACAGCACAATTTATTAATCTGAAAAGAATTAAATAATGTACAATATGTTCGTATGATAATTTTTGCGAAAAAGTAATTTAGAAAGACATACTTTGTATTTGTAAGTTTGAGTTTTGTTTTATATGCCTCGAGAGCTTTTTCAGATGTATCAAACTTCTCAAATATTTGATCTACAATGTTAATAAATACGTCGTATTTATAGTTTTGGTGAGCAGCCCATGATATTGGTTTAGCCAAATTTATGTTTCCACCAGGCATTTGTTGTAATCTTTTCATAGCTTGACCAAAGGAAGCCGTTTTATCAATATTCATAACATGAATTCCAAGATTCTTAAATGTGACAATGGTGACGCTCTTCTCACTACGAAGAAGTGCAAGTGCAATCATGCACGCAGCTTCTGCACCATTCACGTTACCGCTACGCCAAGTATTTGTTTCCAACATTGCTTTATTCGTATTGATCGTTACCATATAACGTAAACCAGTTGGTTGAATATGCTAGATAAAAATAATTAATATAGTAAATAAATACATATATGAATGCTTTATGAGCATTTTTTATTTATACTTACAAAAAAGGAAATATTCAACATTTTGTAAAGGGCATCAATGATTTTAGAATTTGGTTTTGACAGAACTGGCGATGGTTTATCAATTTGTTCTTTGATTTTTCTCTTTTCGTACGTTAATGGTCTTCAAAAGTTACATATTAGATAATATTAATAAAATATAGAAAAGGAAGACACACTGGAAATTATTTTATTTTACGACTTACTTTCCAGAATTTTCATAATCTCTTATTGTAACTAATACTAAAGCTGGATGAACCTTATCTCGGGCAATATTTTCTTCATTAGTGATTTGATCTATTATTTTGGGAACTGTTGGCGAGGTTGGTTTCAGTAATTTAAGATTGTGTATTCTTTGTAGATTGGTTAAAAGCATGACTAAATTCATCGATGGTATTAGTGCATTCCAAACCTACATATTATTCATAATTATAAACCAAGTGTATCTCATTTTCTAAAGAATTTTAGTTGTCTTTTAGTTATACCTCTTTAGATTTCAGCAAGTGTCCAGGTACATGATCTAATGTTAGTTTGTACATCTCCAAAAGACCTGCTGCTCGTACTTCATCCGTACAGTGTTTAAAGTCTTCGACATGTTCAATATAATCTAGAATTTCTTTAAGTGTGGGATCTTCTGCACAGTATTTTTTCACTTCTTCTAAACCATGTATTACATATCTAAGGACCATTCCTCCCCCTATATAGCAGCGTACTGTTTAGTTAAAATTATGTTTACTTATATATGATTAATAAATATTAAATAAATTAGGCAAATACCAGGATTAAGAGGTACAGGATGAGACAATTTTATGATATCTTTATGCTTCCAACCATATCTGCCTTTATATCTTGTAACACACTTTGCTAATTCCATTGGTGTTTTTGATAAATACCAGTTATTTACAGCTTTTCTTAAACCTTGACCCCATCCATGTTTTGAACTACCAGTTGCATCAAGTTCTTTTTTTTTACTTATTTGAGAAGCAAATTTTATGAACAAAATGAAATGCTGTGGTGATATACAAATTTTGTTTAAAACTGTATATGCTGCATGACGTAAACTTTCACTTTTCATCTGTCTACAGCAAACAGCAAGAGCAAATACCAATGTTTCTGGATTAGGGACAAGATTACTTTCAAATGCCTGTAAAAGATAAAATGTTTTAAATCGTTATCGTAAATTAATTATATATAATTGATTTTAATATTTATCATGAGATCTTACCTTTGTGATGATTTCAATTGGTAATAATTGTTTCTCTGTATTTTCAGCTAATTCTTCAATAGACAGGACATTTTTAGCCAGAAAATAATCATGAACAAACCAGTTTCCAGGCTGATAATCAGGATATTCTTTACCAACATAAAGAAATTGTGATAATCGTACTTCAGGATCATTTGGATCCAAATCTACCGCCATTTCTTACACAATACTATAAAGAATAATTTATAAATTTAGAGAGTATTGAAAAATAAGAATTTTTTTTATTTTATTTATACACAAGCATTTTTTAGTTATACAGTTAGAATTTATTCCTGTATATTTAGTTACATAACAATAATCCATTAACAAAATATAGAGAAATATATATAATTGACAATTAGCAATAACAGTATATTTTTAAAAAATCGATGTTCAAGTAACTTTATTAAAATGTATTAGAAATGTAATTTTGAATACCATATATTTACAACTTTATTTAATCATGTATATTTGTAAGCGTGTATATGTATGAACGATCTTTTTAACTTTGACTCAAGTATTAGTAATTGTTTATAAGAAAATTGTAGAAGGAGCTAATTTTCATACACACACAGTGTATAATAGGACATAGTAACAGGTATCACTGAATGACCTGATAAGGTAACATAAAAATACGGGATATGTCATTACAATAGTGCATGCTTGACTTCATAAATCATAGAGGTACAATACTTGTACGGTTGCAAAAAATTTGATAAACTTTTAAATGTCATTATATACATTCAATCCTTATTACCTTGTGTTAATGGAAAGAGTAACAACCGAAAACACAACCATACAGTACGACGTTTTATGACGTACAAGAATGTACTGACGGAAGAAGTTATATGGTCCGAGTAGAACCTGGGTCAAGTGCAAAGCACGAAAGCTCATTGACCCTCAGAAAACAGTAAATATGTTAACGAAATAGAATTTTTTATATAATAAAAAACAAGATTCTTCTTCTAAAAATGTTGTCTACTATATGCATTTGTTTTTTTCTTTATCAAAATTTGATGAATTTTTAAGTATTTTTCAAAAGATCTCTTTTACCGTAATATACGAGACAATAGTGAATATTCGTTGCATGCGCACACATTAAATTTTTCTTTAGTTACTAGTTTTTAAAATTATAGGTTTAAGATAGTTGAATAAAAAAGAAAAATAAAAATGTTTTCATACATTTCTCATTCATTTCTTTTCAACATTTTGATTTTATTTTTAATTTGTTAAATGATACCTAAGAGGAAATTTCCTTTTCGATGATACCTTATTATAGCACTATATTATAACTTGTGATCAAGATTCTAAATAATTACATATTTTGTTTTCTTTTTAGTGATATGTGGTTTTTATAATGTATGAAATATTGTTGATTCATTATTTTGTTAACAATTTTTTTAGTAAATATTACAATTATTTAGAATAAAATAGTAATTTTATTATGTTCGTACAATATTATAATAGTTTGCAATTATATATAAAACAATATAAAATTTTAAAGAATAATGAAGTTTAAATACTGGGAGATATGGATAAGAAGTTGGTTTCATTTTTTGAACACTATCTAATCAGATCTGATATTTAAAAGTCATCACTGTTTTAAGTTGGTATTTGATTTGTTGGCATTTTGAAGCTCAACTAGTAATACTTGATAATGCCAAAGAGAAAATGAGGGTTCTGACGAAGGTTCAGGATTGTTCTAAGTGTCCCAAGGTATAGGTGCTGCACCACGCGGCTAAGTGTTGAAGGAGTTTCACGCTAGCATATACAAGAACCTATTTAGCTGTGACAGAAACGAGGTATACCCGCTGTGGTTTCACGCTATAAGAGCCTATGCAAATGACAAAATCGCAAAATAATTAAAATTAGTTGCCTAAGAGAAAGAAATTAATTGTTTTAGAGAAATAAAGAAAATCTTTCTTCTCAAACGATAATGGATCAGTAGTGTGATGCAATAATTTCAATATACCTTCAGCACTGGGCCGCTGAGAGCAGCACTGGCTCGGGAACAACCGGATCCATAAGTATAAGCACTCTTATTTCCTCTCTGGCAATACTTTCAAAAAAGTAATGTCAGTACAACGGCCATGGCAGAGTGGTTGCAATCGAAAATTGTTCGTTTTTGCGAACTAAATAACGTAGAAGAAAAACATAATATTTTATCTGATATAAAAATAAAATTGGGAAGTTTAAACAATAGAGAAACTGAACAGATCTCTCGTAATGTGGATTTTAGTCTATTGTTTGCTCAATTAACCTCAAATGACAGGTATCATAACAATACTGATTTCATGAAACAATTTTTAGTGATCTTCAAGATATCTTTTAAAATATATTTTCTTTTTATTTTTTCATATATTTTGTTAAAAGAAGGATGAAAAAAGCTACAAATATATTATAAATAAAGAATTGCGTTTTTGCTAGATAATCTATTATAATATTAATACAATAGTGGAAGAACATCAAGAAATTAAATAACTATAAAACTATTTACTACTTTTCCCTTACAGAGAATTTGTAGATCAAGTATGTGACATTTTGAAGGCATTGTTTGGCATTTTAGAACCTGGAGAAGTATATCAAAGATATTCAACAGAAATATCTCAGTTGATAATTCATCCAGCTGATGTAGTTAGGTCACTTGCGTTGCATGAAATTTCCTGCATTGTTTCTAATCCCCAAAAGTTACCTTTGCTGCTCAGAGATGTCAATTTACTGGTTGCTGTCATAAATAGGATCGGAGATGACAATCTGGTGGTAGCTAATTGTGCAATGCGTATAATGAAAGAAATTGGTAAAAATCCAAATGGATTGCAAATTCTATATACAGGTGAACTATTAAGAAGTTTTGCTAGATTGTTAGTAAAAAACGATACTGTTAGTTTTCGTATATACGAAATTGTTGTGGATGTAGCAAAATCTTCAAAGGAAGGTCTAGAAGCTTCTGTTCAATCAGGATTTTTAAATAGTTTGTTCGAGGTGCTTGAAAACGAAGATATATTGCTACAGATAAATGCATTAGAAATCTTGACAGAATTGGCATTAACAGAGGAAGGATTAAATTACTTAGAGCAACAAGAAGTCATAAAAAAATTTGTTCAAAAAATAACACAGGCCAATGAAAATCCATTGTCAAATTTGTTGATTCCTGGATTAATGAAATTTTTTGGAAACGTTGCACGTTATTGGCCTAACGAAATATTTTCAAAATATCCAATTGTCGTCTCTGCATTATTTGAAGTAATAGAGAGTGGTGATCAAACTATCCTTGGTGTTGCTTTAGACACATTGGGTCATATTTCTATGCGTGCGGAAGGTAAATATGCTCTGCAAGCTTTGGGAGATGCAATGCCGTGTGCATTGAAAAAAATTGCTGACATAATACAAAGAATGCCTACAGCATTAAGAATTCGTGGGCTTAATAACTTGGCTCTCATACTTGATGTACAAAAAACAGAACAAGACAACAGAATTATGTCACTGACAAAATCATGGTTTAACTCTATGTGCGATGATCCTATGGGTATGATTCTGGCATTGTGTAGGCAACCATTTGCAGATATTAGGCAAGCAAGTTTAGAGGTGATGGCAGTTGTGGCATCTCAAGTATGGGGTCAAGAATACATGTCCTCTTACCCAGGTCTGGTTGAATTTCTGTTGGACAGGAACGCCGAATCATTTAAAGAATGTAAGGAAGCTAAATACGCAATTGTAAAACAGCTAGCCGAAGCTGAACAAAATGTATTCGATGCAAATATAATGCAAAGGTTCGCGGAGTTTGTAACTCAAGGACCGCATTACGTCGAAGCCAATACAGAAGTTGCGGTAGAAGGGGGTGTATGAGTTATATTGTTTTCCTTTTTATTATTATCCGTTAAGAGTGTTAAAAGTTATTAACATCTACCGAAAACATTGTATAAGATGTGGAATAACTTTTTTTATGTAAACACAAAAGATATGCTATTTATTTTCTATGTTATATCTACAAATAAAATATAATGGTACATAAATAAGGATCTTGTTCTTCTGTACGACGAAGAATGCAGATATACAAAGGTAAATAATTTATTTTATAAGTAATAATACATAGTAACCTTAACACTGCGCAAAATACTTACATTACTATGCAGAATAGTGTAATAATGCATAATTGTGCTTAATTTTTATACGCACGCGTCTACATTTTCTCACTGATTCCTAATTTCTTCTTTACATTAATTACATACAATAAAGACAAATAATTTTATGAAATATAGTATGCCAAATAATCGCGTCATTGCATCATTGTATGCGTTTCCGTTTCTTGGGGGAAAGTATCTTTAACATGCTCACAATAGGAGCTTCGAAGGATACCGATATGATAAATGATAATATATACGATGAAACCAGTGCTCCGAAGAAAGTGATCATCTAAAAAAATGTATCGTTATATTAAATCTATCGATAAATATCTAGAGAAGATAAATTTGTTACTTTTATATCGACGCACCATGGTATATTTTCCTAAATGAAGTGGTGAGTCCAAGTTCATAGGCGTCATTCGAATCACAAGCGGATGTACCAAGTAAGCGCAATACGTTATTCTGCTAACTGGATATAAAATCGGTGCTGACAGAATACTATTCACGTATCCTATATATAGGTATAGATAATTAAAATTGTGTTTCTATAGCTATTTTTAATTTGATAATGTTTACCTCCGTAACCTGTGCTACATGCAACGACGATCCACGATAAACCAAGCGCCCATACGCTGTGACTTAACGAAGAATAGCTAGCTGCCATTATAGGACTAAGTTCTGTTTCGTACAGACCATACAATAAACTTGAAAGAGATGCCGAAGAAAGGAGCCATCCTATGCAAATTGTCGTCTGAAAACGATGAAATTATAATTCATAGTAAAATTATCGTTATTCGACTATTAATTGTTTCACGACTATTAACTTCAATGTACCTTGGACATTTTTATTTTGCAATCAGTCTTGAAAAGGAAGTATCCTACCGACATGCCTATAAGATAAGGACCTAATCTAGTCCATGGTTTATCGTAGATCTTATCGAAAAGCGCCAACGGGTCGTCCGAGCTTGGCATGTGATTATTTATCAAAGCAATGTATCCTGTTGTTATCCAGGAGCTTAGTAGTAAAGTAGTCATCGCAAAGGTTGCAATTTTAAAGTGGTTTGTCGCTAAAACTAATATCACGGCGCCAATAATGTAAAATTGAGTGTCATCCGCAACATACCAGCTCCAAATCATGCACTGAAAAAATGCGCGATACACTAGGTATTAATCTTCAATTATTATAAAACTACAAAGCTACAAAGCGCGAATAGATATATTCTTCTTTTCGTTCAAGTTAAAGTGGGAATTTTTTGTAAAAATTTGAAAAACGATCGGGCGACTCACCATTTGGTCTACCGGGAATAAAGTATTGATATAGAGTAAATTCCTCCACCAGTAGTTGGGACAGTTGTAATGATCCGCGGTCGGTGGTTCAAACACGGAATTCGAATGAAACCATTTCATCGCGATTTGATTAACTCCGAGTATGAACATGTAGGGAGCTGTGAGTCTACAAAATCGGTACATGAGAAGACCGATGAACTTGAGGCCACCTGCGACGATGCCCCGTGTGCCCTGCGTAAGTTTATTCAAGTCTCCTTTCGCGTTTGTCCTGAAGTAGAGGAAACTCACGAGTAAGCCTCCCATGAAGAAAAACGTATCGACGCTGAAAGCTCCGTTCGTTATGGTTTGAAAGAGGAATTTTCTTTCCACAATTTTTCGATATTCCATATTATCCGAGTACTTGAAGATGATAATGCAAGTGTGACCGAGAATAACCCAGGCCATAGATATCGCTCTGAGGCCATGAATGGTACTGATCGTATCACCACCGACTTTATCGTCGCAAATAATTTTTACATTAGCTCGAACCGAGAAAGAAAGCAGCAACTCCTCGAAGACACCTAGCATCCAAATAATGGAAGATTAGCAATTAATATCTTGTAGCTTCTTGTAGTGATTACGTATCAAGGTGTTTTATTAAAACAAAGAATCGCTTACTGAATTTATGTACTTTCGGACTGTCTGAGCGTAGACTACCTTCGTGATCGTTGTTGTTATTAACTGCTAAAGATTGAGGTCCGTTGATGATAGCTTCTGCCGCTGGAACAGGAAGGTAGACCTTACCTTGAAAAGCTGCGAAATATAATGATAAAAGAGTGTCACTGTCTTTGCTACTGTCCCCTTGTCTTGTGATCGTCTGTAAGTGTTAGTCACCTTTTTGTTCTCGGTAAAGGGAACGAGCACGAGAGAGATACTGCGTTTTCTCGAAGCCGCGTCAAGAAAAGCAACATTACAAAAAGGACGTTCGAAGAGAAGAAATTATCTTACCAGTATTGAGAGACTTTTGACTTCTGCCAGTTAACTGGTCAAGTTTCGCGTGTCTTTCCAAATCGTAAATCACTTTTCTTCCTCGAGTATATTTTCTCGTTATATAGATATCATATCCGGTCCCAATTGCCATCAGCAAGACAACCGCAACGGTCACACCACTGAAACGTTCCCAATGTTTTTAATTTTCATTTATTTTAATATTTCTCTAGTTTGGTTTTAATACGATTCAACGTACGATAGAATCCAGAAGACTGGGTCCTCGTACATATCGTACATATCATGCTGATCTCGAACCTTGTGAAGCGTCGAATGTTTCATCGCTTGTTCGCTGGCAGCGAGTTTTGCTATCACAGAAACGTCGGAAGCGTTGCACGAGAAAGGTAAACATACTCCTAGATAAATCATTCTTGTCTGCAATTAACGTTAAGCAACGATTACAGACGATTATCCAAGCGGAAAGTTGTTAAATAATATTCAACCATTTACCGTAGGAAATAAAGTGGTATTCACTGAAATGGTCATCATATAAAATCCCAATTTGTGAGGCGACTTATTCGATCTTGTCCCGCTCCAGAGATTATTTCCAGTGAGGCCGCCGTGCCTTTTTTGCGGCTCGCTGTTAAACTCTTTCGCCTCCTCCATCGGTTTCTCTTGGATTTTCGCTATTTTTCTTCCATAGTCTTCGTTGATGTAGGCACACTGGGTAGCTGAACCGACATAGTAGGAGTTTCCCCATAGGAAGCCGTTGGTATATCTGCCTGAAGCATCGTTCGCTGCAAGAAACGAAAAATTTGATGTGATCTTTCGATTAGTAAAGCAAGATCTTCTAAAGGCTTTGTGAAACCGGTAAGCGTACTCTTTTGCTGATGACTTGCATGTTAGCTAGCCGATGACCTACTTCATCGTTCAAGACACTTTCTCTCTGCTCGACGAGTGGCCATTTCCGGATTACTTTGGATGAAATACCAATGGAAGCTAATGTTTGGATATGCCTCGAAACTTATGCGAGTAGCATATAAACGTACTCGACGAAGGATTCGAATGCTCACGGTATTTTCATCGTTGCTGAATAATTGTTCGTTTATACGATAGAGATTTCCCGCGTTCTTACTTAATATTCAGTAGCAGAGAATCGTTTGATGTCGTAAGCTAAATATTAGTGCGCGGTATTCATTTACACTTTCATAACCGACGTTCGACCGTAGACGTGGTTCTGCTACATAATTTTCATTACCAAAGATTACGACATCTATCGCGAGCTGGGAATCCAGCTGTTCTCTAACAAGAACTTTCTATATTCCAGAAGAAAGTAATATTATCTAATTATCCTAATCATTATCGTGGTGGTGTTCAAACCGTTTCCATAGATCGCTATGTAGTATATACGGCGCGTATCGTAATTACTAATCACGATTCGTTACATCATTCGTAAATTGCAGTTGTAGGATAAATCGCAATGTCATCGTTCTACACAGAAACAAATATACCGACGTTTCCCTCCGAAACATTTTGTAATTGATTTCCTGTACAATTGAGTACATCGTCTCACCGGTTCGATATTACCACTGAGACTTTGCTTCTTCTCCATTTTCCTAATTCTATTATTTCGCTGCTAGTCTTATTCGACTAATCTATGAATCAGACAATTCCAATTCGAAAGTAATTCTTGACCTTGCCTATTTGGTATTTGGATTCGATCAATGGAACTTTTACAAACGCTACCGTAACCCGACAAACAACGCAACTCAGAGACATCCTATTATCGATTCCATTCGCACAAAAGTAGAATCGTATACGCGTAACCGCAAAGAAATTAGAATAACAATGGATTTTGCGTACGTGCGGTGATCTCTGACACAATCCTTCGTTGAACAACGAAAGTCAAGTTCAATCTGTACGCGTGACTCGTGTCGTTTCTTCGTTGATTCGCGAAAAAATGGAACCATCTTGCTTACTCTCGCCCTATTAATTTATCAGCGGTTGTTTCATTTCCTTTTCAGTTTCGTTTAATCCTTGTACTCGAACACATACGGAAGTGAACAAGAAATATACAAGGGATATTTTTACTCGTTATCGTTCAAAATATTCAGCAGTTCGTGACTTACGCTATCTTATAATGTCAGTTACCTTTTCAGGACGTACGTGGGATGCGCGAACGAATGGCGACACACAATGGCATTGAATCGATTTCTGTGGATAAAAAGAGTCTCGTGGAAAAAAAAAAGGAAGAGAAATTAGAGGACGGAACAAAGCGAATTCCACGAGTTCGATGCAGGGAGTGCGACCGGTTTGCAAGGTCTGTTGCTTGGAATAACACGCTTATGGCTGCAGTCTCCTTGATAAAGTTCAAGAGCTATCGCAACGAGAGTTACTAAAAAACTCTGATTCAGTTCGCTGCGTGTACTCCTTATTCGTCGATCAGCGAATGTAACGAAATTTCTCGGCGCATTCACGCTAACGAGGGAAAGACGCCGACTGTTGCACGTTTGAATGGCGAGTCACGATTAATTACGACCGTCGCTTAATTGAAAACCACCATTGAAATTTGTATTAAAATTCTTGGAATGAGAATAAACAAATAATAAAATTTGATGGAACGAAGATCGATAAGTAGACGAAGTTTTAAGACGAGTTAATCCAGAATCTGGCGATTAACTCGAAATTGGGATTTGAAATAATCGTTCCTATGGATCGTGGAATGTAACGGTTTATTTTATCGTTTGCTTCCGATCGACTAAACGTTCTAAATGGCACGTATGCACGATCGATTAGGGAAAGTAATTTAGAAAGAGAAAGGTTCCCCTTAACGTAGTCGTTTGTGTTGCAATATTAATATACGCATGGTTGAACTTTCCTTGATTTTAACATATGAATCATTTAGGGATATTTCTATTACATACATGCATACATACGAAGGTAAATTTATCGGTATTGGTTACATCATTTTGACCTTTTATAACGGATTGTAAAAAAATCGTTTTAAAAGCAATGTCTTGATTCCTGTTTCTCGTTAATTCTTTCGTTAATGATAAAGTCCATGGACCGAGGATGCGTCCATCGATCGGTTGCATCAAGCTATGTTATGCGACATCAGCATAAAGTTATAACGCGTTCGACTCTGTTTTCTAACGAGTGGGAAGTGAAACGGCCACTCAAACGTGTTCCATAATCTGTGATCGATGAACGAAAACGTCCGTTGGTTACGTTAGCCAGCGGCTTGTACTCGATCGGCTGATTTTGCAAGGAAAATTTATCGAAACTCGCCTGCGAATTATCGACTCATTGTTGGATGCTACGAACGATCGAACGACTTCGTACATGGCTCATAAACTTGGCAATTTAATGCTCGATCGAATGCCGAAATAACTCTAAATACTGGAATTCTACCGATAAACGGTATTCGTACGGAGGCGTGCTTTTCCCTCTATTTAACAGGCTTTAGTTGTCGTTAATTAAAGGGTCTTGACGTACATAAGACAAACAGCTAGCAATGTATTCGGCAGGAATGTCGTTACGTAACTTTGAACGCAGATACGTACATGCTTCCTACTTTTCGTGCATACTTTAGAAAGAAAGGCTACCTCGTCGAACGAAAGAGACGAAAATCAAGTAGATCGGCCTCTGTTTGCAGTTGCGGGAATTCGCCTGATTTTCATTGAAATTGGTGCAAGTTTCGAACAGGATAGAATAAGCACTCGCGTAGGACGCGTTCTACTTGCCCGTGCAAGTTTATGTGGAAGGAAACCTGTTTAGAAGCGAAACATATAATAGAAAGTACATAAGGAAATATCTGTTTATGTAATCCTGAGGTCGAAACGTTAAATCAGACACGAGAAAAGTTCCGATACGCGTAAACTGCGCGTAATTATAATCTAAACGAGCATTTCAAGCATTTCATGATTCGTCGAAAGCGGGTGTATACGCGTTTACGTGTCTTATACAAGAACTGGCCGCTCGAAGATGTCGATAGATCGTGAAACGACGTGTTCCACGAACCAGGAAGCGACAGACTGAGACGCTGCTGTTCCAACCACGTTGTTCACGAACCGTTATTATATCACGGCGTTTATGCAGTCCGAGAAACAGAATGATAAAGGATCGAGAACAGCCGAAGAAAAGTCCAGCGTTACGTGAAAGTTGCGTTTGCAAGCCCGGTTTCCACGTAATCCTTTCTCCGGGCGGTTTTTGTATCTGGTGTGACGTAATTTCGATAATTGCCGCGGTTTCTACTTCGACCGTGTTTCTTCGTGCGCGAGTCTTCCTTGAAACTTTCTAACGTTACCTTTGCGCGTATCGCGAAGGATATTCGCGGAAGTCCCGAGAACACTCATCCATAAGCTTGTCGCCGAGTTAAGCAGCGTGACGCGCTACCGTCCAAGAAACTCTACCATTGTTTTAGAAATAACATCGAATCTCAGCATAGCTAGATCGCGAATGTCTATGCAAATTTGTATTTTTATAAACACAAGTGAAACAATGGAGAAATTCGTACTCTGCCTATCGCGTTTTCGTTACGTTGGAGATTTTCTTCGTTAAACTTTTTCCTACATCTACGAACTACGCGCGATATAGTAGCACGCCGGAATAATTTACTTACAATTCTCAATGAGAATTGTTTGTAAAATTCTTCCAAATAAAACAAAAAAAAAAAAAAATCTACGAACTAATTTTAAATATCGCAATGGATACGAAGAAGCTGGGAAGGTCGATCGACGTTGAATGCAATCGAAAGTTAAACGACGAATATTTGCATAGTAATCGGCATCGTTACGAACAGAAATTTCGAATGTCATAAAGATGACGTTTCTAACGCTGTTTGTTCTCTCTCTAATAGCCTCGAGGTATTTTTCACCGTGTAATTGCGCTTTGAACTTCCTACAATGATAATGGAACACAGAGCGTCACGGGAGGAGAAAGTCATGAAATTCGCTTCGTGCACTTTTCCTTCGCTTGGAAATTGGGCAGAATTGAACAAACAGAATTCTCACCGGAAATAATAAACCCTAACGTAATTTTACTCTCGCTTGATCGAATTAACGGTGAGTAAGATAACGCTTTCTATCTGGTTATCTCGATGGGGAATTTTAGAAAAATGAAATTTAAACAAAATAAACATCTTTCTCGTTCGAGTTCGTTTCCTGTTAATGGCGAAATTTTCCTCGTATGGAAACTGTTTCGAAGGTGAAGCGTTGCTTTCTCGAGTCATCCAGTGCTATTCATTTTCTATACATCCACCAACTTCTTCTTCGTAGCAGGATATGTCGAAAGTACCAGAACGAAAACCAGTTTCTTCCTCTTTAAGCGAATTGTACGGTTTATCGGTCCCGACACTGCTTTCGGAAGTATCGAAATAATCGAAAATAATCGTACGATGTTTAATCGTCGGAATTTCAATGTTACGCTATGCCAGTTGCATACAATGTTCCAGGAGTCGTTTCTAACAGACGCCGAGAGTACGTCTCGCAACTACGTACGTGTTTATTTAGTTGTACGAAAGATTCGTTCTCCGTGATACTATTTCCGTCCATTTCTTAAGTGAAAATTCAGCGATGCGATATATGTAACGCCAGAGCAAACCAATAGCGGCACTGGTTTTCCCAAGTTCGTCGGTCGAAAATCGAACCTCGTGAGTCTAAAATTGAAAAGACCTAGACGAGAGAAACAATCCTGACGCGCTTAACCCTTTCACCTGTATCAGGTGCGACCCTGATCGTACCAAATGGCGAGAGAGCGTTTGAAAATGCGACCCGAAAAGTGTAACGGGTAATATATGGACAGTAGGAAAGCGTATTCTATTCTTAGATATTGCGTAGATGGTAGTATCTAAGTACACATGTTGAGTGGCATTCTTTTCCAATGTGTTGCAATCGATGCAAATGTCACGTCGATGTTCCGTTTGGAAAAAATTCGAACTAAAGTGCATCTGTGTATCGTGTACCAATTTTCTGCGTAAATTGCGCTGGTAATATTCGAAGCCCTGAGACAGAAAGCCACAACGGTCGTGTTACTGCCGATACTTACGGAAAAGTGGAACACTACGAGACTCTTGCGAAAAGTGGCATTGACCGAGGCAAGCGGTAAAACATTGAAAGCGATTCGTTGTCGGGCCGAGCCTGTGCCGGTCGTGCAAGTAGCCATGGCGTAGCTCTTTGTGTCGCGAAAAGTGAAATTTCTCGATGAAAGTAGGCAAAGCAAAAGGAACTGCCGGGAGGAAGGCAGATGCGTTTTAGCGAGGACGATTCTGGCGAGCTCCCGCCGTTACCGGTGACCCATCGACTTTCGATTTCCTTACCGATGAAAGTGAATTAAACCGCGTGGAATTTCATTCGTTACTCCAGTTGTGCGATCTCGTAAGAAACGTTAAATTCGAGATGGGGAGAGATTTTAATAAATCTCGTTAATTTTCCGATAAATTCGTTATGCTCGAGTCCGTTTCTTCCTTTCTCGTATTTGCATCGTGATCTCCGAAAACGTTTCTATTAAAGGCCAACGAAATCATACGCCGTGTTAATCGTATCTCTGGCCGCTGTAACTCCGTACACTTTCTATTCGTATAATAAATTTTTGCTCGCTTCACGAAATACCGTTGTCTCGCGTGTACACGAGAAAAGAGAAAAATGTTTGCTCACGGTTAGTTCCAAACGAATAATCGATGGTCAAACATTTGAACAGGAACCAACTACCGAAGCCATCGACATTTTTAGAAGAAGTTCGATCAGTTCGACGTACCTTTTACGGCCCAATCTTCGTGATTCTTCAATCCTTTGATATACCTCGTAATATCTTTGGCACACTGCTCCTGAACAGGGTATTTCCCTTCTGTCCAATTGTTGGCAAGGTAACGCACATCGAAGAGGTCCAACGCTTCCGACAACGTGGTCCAATTTCTATCCGGAATCTTATCGACGTCGGTAAAAGTTCTTACTCGCTGGTCCGCCAAAGAGTCTCGTACTGAATTCTCTGGAACGGTCGAAGCTATCACCCCGCAGATCGCGAAGCTCGCGAAAAGAACGACGAGATACCACTTTTGGTTCATCGTTGTCTCAATTGCTTTTACACAAATCACTAGAGAAATAGAATCGTCCACAGGTCGATTAACTTCAACTAACTATCTCGCATCTCGCTAACGTAGTTTCGATGAATATCCGGTCGGAGTTTTTCGTGCACGCTGGAAATCTTAGAAATCGTAAACTATCACAGAAAAAATATTCGTAATCACAGTAGATGCCCAGCTAGCCTTCCTCGTCTATGCCGACAACGACGGATCTTGATCTCTTCAACTCCTCTCAGAGTCACGTGAATCTTTCTGGTTGCATTTTCCGATTCATCCGGCGATGGGCCCTTCGTTTCGAGGCCCTCCCGTCCTAGTTATCATACTTTTGAGAAAGTAGCGAGAGTGGACGGAAGGAGAGAGTATGAACTCCGCGGCACGACTGCCTGAACGATCTGGGACTAGGCTTCCAACTCCTGACAGTGTGACTTCCCTTCCGTGTGGTTCCTTCTTATTCGACGCCCAAGAATCACCTAGGACGACGAGGCTAGCAGTGGTAGAAAAATTGCTTTGCCGGCTGAATATCTTGGTAGTAATGAAAGTGCGAGAAAATGGTGGGGAGAAACCTCCCCATATCGAAAAGTGAGCGCTAACGGTGGCTACCTTAGCCCGAGACTCGTCTTGTTTAATACAACTTGTCACGTAGATTCGTAGTTAACATAATTTCGTGCCCGTTGATAAAATGAAAGAGGCAGTGAGAGATCGTTTCTTTTGAAAGACGAGATAGTTCCCACACGAGACTTGTTAAACATCTCTATTTTTTTCGTGTTTTTCAAAACGGATGAAATACATTCACAAAAGGTATATTTAGGTTTATAAATATTTCAGTATATTCTGTACGAGGGCCGTCTGCGCTACGTCTATAAAATATGGTAATGATACGCGCTCAAAGGAAACCAAGAACGTAGTTTAATATGGTAAATTACTAAACAAAGTTGTAAATTTCTTCTTTCTCGAGTTTGGTATAAAAAGAAGGTAGGATAAGAAGGAAGCCAGATGTTATTCATTAACGTTGTAAAGCTTACGTAATACCAGATTTATCATACAGAACGGATGAGGATGTTTAAACAACGGTCGTCTCTTGTATCAGTTTCTTTTCTACGTAGAACATTTCGGTACGCTGCAAAAAATAGATTTTCTCCTTTTTCCATGAATATCTTATTAGAAACGCTTAGTCGATATAGATAATGAATTTTACGAAGGTACATAAGAAACTTCAACGAACCAACGATGATCACAGTATATGATACTCGTTAAATAAATTGATTAATTTAGTGGAATCGACTATAGAGTCGCGTACGATGCGAAGACTTACAAAGTGTACGGTGAGGTTTTGCGTGAATTCGCCTGAAATTGACGGCACAGTCTATCATAAAAGTTTCACAAAAGAAATTTCATGCTATTAGAGGAGTGTTTCTCTTTCTCCGGCGCAAAACTTTCGTCAAACGCTGTCATTGGCTGCTCAGTCGTGCTGAAATTCGTTTTCCTTTTTTTTACCATTACAAGACTTTACTGTCCTACCGTATAATTTCCGTTAGTAATCCTACACAGTCTCCTCCAAAAACCATAATGACTGGCAAAATGCAAATTTTCTACTACCTATAATCAGCCTTCTGCAATCGTTGATGATTTCTTACCTGGTCGAAAGTTAATGTTACATTTTCGACAGATATCGCGTTGAGAAAGCCATTAATATGAACGTCGATGAATTATATTCGCGGCACGTGCCAATAAAACGTGAATCGCGTGAAAAATAGGCACAATGCAGTTACGAAGTGTAGTTGCTTGTTTTATAAATGCACTTGCACTTTTACGTTGTTGCGATACTTTGCGTATCTTTGTTGCTCTTTGGTAAAGTCTTCGTAGAATATTAATCAAACTCTGACCATGACAATGTCGATTTGGTTTCTACGATGACAGAAAATCAGCAATTCAAAGTTTCATTCCTGTAGTTTAGTCTATAAATAACACGGTAAAGAGAAATAAAAGATCATATAATTACGGATTTTATAATATCGCAAGTGTTGCATTGTGGTAAAGTGAAACTGGTCGAAGCAAATTGAATTTCGTCTCATCCATTTCTTACGAAAAAGAAACAAGTTTCTATCGAATATTTTCGACGATTTTCGACGATCTTCGAATATTGAAAAAAAAATTTAGATTCATCGCTTCGTCGAAGGTTCGAAGTTGGCCTTCCAGTGATTGACCTTCCTTTTTGAATGGATTTCTCTTCAGCGGTCATCGTACTTTCGTTATTACAGAATCTGTAGCTTCGAACGAAATATACCTATACCTATATTTAATATATCGTTTATGTTTCGTGATTAATGTGATAAGTATTCTGCGATACTATATTTGGCGAAGCCGATGAAGTTGTAGCTATAATAATATGCTATCTATTCAGGAAGTAGTCAAGGCCATCTTTCTAGATTTTGAGATATATACATTAAGCGTAGCGTTGTATTTTGGCCTTTACTTCAAATTGGGAATGGTATGTTGTGCCTTGTCGAGCCGTTGCTTAGCTAGAATTACTTTTACAATCATTATTTAGGAGCGGACGTCTTTGAGGCGGTCGTACCTGTTACAACTCCCGCATGAGATAAAGATCAGAGACGTCAGCAGCAACGTTAGCCTCCTAATCTCTCCTATTTTTTCCTGTTCCAGGTAATCCCACAAAAACTCTTCCGTAGATTCATTAATCAGCCTTCCACACGATAGGGACGAGAAGAATCGTATCGTAGTATATCGTTTTATTTCATGATCGTGAATAGTGTATCTAATATTAATAAAGAATTGAATTATTTGTAGTGGTAATTAGTAATTAGATGCCAAATTAAGATTGGAGTTATTTCTTAGCTTTTTTTTCTATTATCTTAATAAGTGGATTCGAATTCGGAGTAAGGGCACCGTAGAAAGAGAAAGCTGATAAAAAGTGGAAGAATATAAGTTGGTATAATTGACAAGCGAAGAATAATATCACCTGTAAAACATTATTAATGTTTTTTACGCATAAATAGTAGTAGCTAAAATCGTATCGCCAAATTTTGTCTTCGTCAAAGCGAGGGAAGAAGTGAAAGGGGTAGAAAGGAATAAAAAGTGGGAAAGAAATAAATACTTACTTGGGATTAACAAATCCAAGAGGGGAAAAGTAAAGAGGAAGTGGAAAGGAAAGTGTGTACTTAAACACTTAAAAGAGGCGACACCTAACGGTATATTCAGAAATGAAGTGACTGTGCCCGTTCGGTAACTCAGTTAGTATGTGTATATATATATATATATATATCTTTAATACAATCAACAAGTCTGGAAGGAAAACAGATATTTACGAATCTCTCTAGGATAATAATTTTTGTCAAGTTTACATAACTTTCAAGTGTATTACATATTTTCTATATTACGAAAATTATCGACCTAGAGTGTGATAATATGTAATACCAGAGAGAAAATGAGAGTGCTCGCACTTATGGTTCTAATTGTTTTCGGGTTGGTGCTGCACCACGCGGCCAAGTGTTGAAGGTAACGCATTTAGAATGAATGTCTGTTATTAATTATTTCGTTTCCGAGTTTGTGGTTGTTTCAATGTTTAAAAAGATTATATTGTTACTTATATAACAAATCTTTTTAAGTCTGTTTAAGATATTTTTTATATTTAAAGTTGTTTAAGGAAGTCATTTCTACGGTTTGAAGTAAACCGCAGAACATATCAGGCACACGTGACTCACGTAAGATATATTGAGAAAGCAAACAGTTAATTTTCTAATTCACTTTTAGAAACAAATAATTTTAATAATGGATATAATAATTGATACGGAAGGCCAAGCAGATTTAGTGACAAAAGATCGTTTAGTAGACAGCGATGAGGACGACTTAGACTTTGAAAATAACGGTAATTAATCTATACTGTATCATATTATTTTTAGAGATTAAGAATTTATGACAATAATAATATGCTTTTACGTACATTGATTTATCAGGTACAGAATCGGTCAAATTTTTTGACATAGAGGAAGATTTAATCCAAGATGAGATTCCAATACAGAAAGTGGTTCGCAACCCAACTAAGGATATCGATCTGGAGGAATTTGAAAAAGATATGGGTTGGTCAAACAAAACAGTATCCTCAAGAAGAAGGGTTCATAGAGCAACTCCTGCTCCAGATGTAACCCACCTGACAAAAGAATTGACGTCGATAGATCAGATACTTAAAAAAAGTGTCATAACACCTGGTTTTGAACAGCTACATGCTGTACCTCCTTATATGCTAAGCAGAAGAGTATTAAAAGCTAGAAGACGCAAAGAGCTTGCTAAAACTAAAGGCGAAAATTGGTTTAATATGCCTGCTCCTGAATTGACACCAGAAGTCAGACATGATCTTGAAGTTATAAGAATGAGATCAGCGTTGGATCCGAAACATTTCTATAAAAAGAATGATCTTAAAACAATACCAAGGTACTTCCAAATTGGTAAAGTTATGGATTCGCATTTGGATTACTACTCCGGTCGTGTTACTAAGAAAGAACGTAAGAAGACAATTGTTGATGAACTTTTGGCTGATGCTGAATTTTCTAAGTTCAATAAACGTAAATATAAAGAAATCATTGATGAGAAGAGAAAATTGCATTATAAAGCTCATAGACATGCAAAGAAACTTAAAGGGAAGAAGAAAAAATAAATACTAATTGAAAATATTCATTTTAATCTAACGTTTGTAAAATTTGCAATTATCAAATGAGTTATAAAAATTACAAAAATCTGTATATTTAAAGAAGTTTATATAAATTTAATGCATCCCTCCTGTAACTTCGATAGAAGTACCATTAACATAGGAACTTTTGGAAGATGTTAAAAATGCAATTACTTCTGCCACTTCTTCTGGTTTCCCCATTCTATGAAGAGGTATTTTTTTTATAAATAACTGCTTTACATTATCAGGTACAGTTTTTGTCATAGGGGTTTCTATAAAACCTGGCAACACTGTATTAACACGAATTCCAAATCTATAATAAAAATATATGCCTGATAATATTATAAAATCATTGAATAAAATACTGTACATATACTATAAGTACTTCTTATACGTACTGTCCAAATTCTAAGGAAGCAGTTTGTGTAAGAGCTATTACTCCAGCTTTTGATGCTGCATAATTAGCTTGACCCATGTTTCCAATTTTTCCAATGATAGAGCTTACGTTAACGATCGAACCATTTGTACTCACGTTAGCATTAATCATTTCTTTTACTGCTGTTTGAATTATGTAAAATGTTCCTTTTAAATTCACATCAAGTACTTTAGCAAAATCCTCACTTGTGAGTTTTAAAATGAACTGATCACGTGTGATTCCTGCAGAATTAACTATAATAGTGGGTGCAGTTGAATATTTACTTATTGCATTTTTAAACGCTTCTTGAATACTTTGTTCGTTTGACACTTCAACATTTAATGCCAAATGATTGGAATCTAAAAATTGCGTAGAACTTTAATAATTTTGTCTTAAATAGATAATTGGAAAAAATAATATTTAACATTCAAACCATTTAAAGAAGTAATGGTATCTTCAGCGCTTTTTAAGTTCCGATCTGTAGCAATAACCTTAGCTCCTTGTCTCGCCAAAATACGGCATACTTCTCTACCTATACCGCTACCAGCACCTGTAATTGAAGTAAATTCTATTTTCATATACACTATAAGCTTTCTTTAATTTTTTTCTTCTTTCTCTGTATCTTTTCTTTTTTTTTTTTTAATGCATACCTGTTACAAAGGCC